CGAAGACCCTACCTGCCCGTGGACTGTCTCGCCAGAATGGTGCATGCTCTAGTTATCTCACGCTTGGACTACTGCAACGCGCTCTACGTGGGGCTACCTTTGAAGGTGATCCGGAAACTGCAATTAATCCAGAATGCGGCAGCTAGACTGGTGACTGGGACTGGCCACCGGGACCACATAACACCAGTCCTGAGAGATCTGCATTGGCTCCCAGTACGTTTCCGAGCACAATTCAAAGTGTTGGTGCTGACCTTTAAAGCCCTAAACGGCCTCGGTCCAGTATACCTGAAGGAGCGTCTCCACCCCCATCGTTCAGCCCGGACACTGAGAGGGCCTTCTGGCAGTTCCCTCATTGCGAGAAGTGAGGTTACAGGGAACCAGGCAGAGAGGGCCTTCTCGGTAGTGGCACCCGCCCTGTGGAACACCCTCCCTTCAGATGTGAAGGAAATAAGCAGCTATCCTATCTTTAAAAGACATCTGAAGGCAGCCCTGTTCAGGGAAGTTTTTAATATTTAATCCTGTACTGTTTTTAACATTTGATTGGGAGCTGCCCAGAGTGGTTGGGGAAACTCAGCCAGATGGGCGGGGTATAAATAAATAAATTATTTATTATTATTATTATTTCATTCCCTTGTCCGCAGCTATCCGTGATGTTTCAAAATGGAGTGAAAGAGCTAGGCAGCCAATGGAAGAAATGTATGGCCACGATTACTTTAGCAAAACCTGCGCAGCCTGGGTGGATGGGATCTCCCAGTTTGCACAAAAGCCGAATGGTAAGAAATACTGCAGCTAAAAAGAGATAGAGGCCGGCAATGATAAGCTTTAGGTCTCCGCCCTGTTTTGTTGCATTTCGCTTCACTATTGTCCATCGCTGTATCTCAGAATCATCTTTATCCACAAACTTTCTTCCCAGGAGTCTGCCAGCATTTAAAAACCAATGCTGACTTTGTGTGATTAGAGGGAAAAGGTGGGATACAAATGCAATCATTTAAAAATAACTGGAATATTACAATGGGTCAGATTTAACTAATTCCTTCCATTAGCGGAAGCCTACACAAGGACTTCCATTAGCACAATGGAGGCTTGACTTCTCTTCCCTCATGATCCCACTTCCCAAATTGGCTTGCAGGATCAGGAAAAACCCCAGAGCGGCACTGGAGCTGAAATGTTTGCACTGATTCACCTCAGCATGCACTGAACTCCTCCCATAGATTATAGCCGTGTTCCACCAAGTGATTATTTAGATCAGAGCTGAGGCTCTCCCTTTAGCAGCTATGAATGAACTTCCCCTCGCAATTCTGTGTTCCTTTGGGATGTGGGTGGCGCTGTGGTCTAAACCACTGAGCCTCTTGGGCTTGCCGGATTGGAAGGTCGGCGGTTCAAATCCCCACGATGGGGTGAGCTCCCGTTGCTCTGTCCCAGCTCCTCCAACTGAGCAGTTCAAAAGCACACCAGTGCAAGTAGATAAATAGGTATGGGAAGGTAAACGGCATTTCTGTGTGCTCTGGTGTTCCATTGCACCAGAAGCGGTTTAGTCCTGCTGGCCACATAACCCAGAAAGCTGTCTGTGGACAAACGCCGGCTCCCTCGGCCTGAAAGCGAGATGAGCACCGCACCCCAGAGTCTCCTTTGACCAGACGTAACCATCCAGGGGTCCTTTACCTTTTACCTTTTGACACAGGGCTGCCATGGGATAAACATTTTGAGTGCAGACCGTTTCTCCAGCTGTCATTTTACCTTCCTTGTCATATGAAGTTTGTTTTTTACTGGTGGCAGTGGTTGGAAAAGCACCATGCTACCTGCAAGGGGAAAGAAGCTTCTGAGCTGCTGAGAGTAGGAGTTGTGTGTGTGTGTGTGTGTGTGTGTGTGTGTGTTTAGATTTGGATTGGCAATCCACCTGCAAATGAGGAACTGCCATTTGAACAGTTCTGCAACCTTGAAATAACCGTCATGCTAGCCAGATCCGTACATTTTGCTCGTGGTTCTGCTTTTTTAAGTAAGCAAGCCTGTTGGAACGTTTCGCAGGGGAAATGACACACTGCCTAATTGCACACAAGGTATTTCTGCTTTTCTACTCCACCTTTCAGAAAAAAAATTAACATTCCCTACGTACACTTGTCTGCTTAAGTCAATCATTGCCAGTCTTAGTTAAAAAAAGCAATAATCGTTCAAGACTAATTTTGAGGAGCTTTTTTAAAAAACAGACCTTTTTTAATTAAAAAAAACATTCTGAATGCTAATGGCTGTTCACTACATCAAGGACAAAGCGGTCGAATTACTTGGAAGGCATAGAATGGGCAGCAAGGCTGGGCAAAGCAACTCCGGCTACAATCTCCTACCCACATATCCTGGGAGCAGGCCCCAATGAACTCAGTGAGACTGACTTCTGCGTAGACCTAGAGCTGCATTATTACTATCCCACTCCCAGCTGGGGAGAAGCGGAGTGGCATATCAGCCACCACATCTCAGGTTCTGACAACCAGGACAGAAGAGGTGGAAATAAAAATTTTGCTGCACCAGTTCCAGGCTGGCCTAGCCAAAGGATGTGAGAATTGGTTCCTTTGGGGAATCTGCAAATCTGACACCATTTCTGGCCTTTCTGCTGGCTACCACTTAATGCTTTCCATTAAGACCCACACCCACCCCACTAACAGATTTGCACCTTCACCATAGCCTAACACACACACCCCAGCAGTGTAGATCAGGAGATTAGGGCTACTCGGATTATTAGCCACTGTTTTATTTCCTGATGACACTTTCTCAGTGTTCCCAGGCCTTGCCAGGACATCTTTTAAACTCTTGTAATGTTGTCCTTTCTTTCTATGGTATCAGGGTGGTGTATAGGTCACAGAATTCAGTAAATTGGGTTATTTGAAACCCAATTTATTTTGTGTGTGCAGAACACAAAACATCTTGCCTGCATTAGCTGAGTCGACATATTTAACTCAAGATTTATAAGTGCCGACACTTGTGATGGGGAATAAAAGGAAACAGAAGCAAACTGCCCACAAAAGCAGAATAAAATTCTGACACATATTTTTAAGTACAAATATCAGTACATGCTTGAACAGGTTGTCTAAGAATTCAGAACTAGATGCTGAGAGAAGGGGAGGGAAACCCTGGCAATTTTGTCTGAATCAGACAGACTGGCACTCATTGTGATAATTCCTGTTGCTGATCCAGTTGCTACCAAACCATTTTTTTGCAGCCAGAAGAATCAACTATTTCACTTCCTTTACAAGAGGAAGTAGGTGGTGTTAGCATCACATTTCCCCAGTGAAGCATATTACCATTTCAAAGTAAATAAATAAGGAAATTATCTTGACCTTTTTTCCCACTTCCCACCCCCAGGCAGTATCTGTCAGTCTTTGCTGCCTCATATTCACTGCCCAACGTTAATAATCCACGGAGAGAAAGATCCCTTGGTTCCACGCTTTCACCCTGAATATCTTCACAAGCATATCAAGGGTTCACAGTAAGTCTGTTTTTTTGGGGAGGTGGGCAGGAGAAACTAAAGCTAAAAATTATGTGAACAGATTAAAAAGCTTCTCCAGTTGCTCAGAACGAACTACTTTGCAGGCTTCTACAATCATTCGAAAGAATGCTTCCAGCCCCGATATTGTAGAAATACTCACAAGCAGACAGATCCATCTCATAGGAAAGATTTGTGCCCAGTAGATGCAATTTCTGAACGCAAGTAGAAAGAGCAACTTGAACTAACCAGCACAAAATTCATTTCGCAATCTTCCGCAATTCAGCAAAGCGTCTGGGGTCAGTAACTTGAGATGAAAGCTCAAGGACCTGCTTCCAAAATTAGACACCGGCATTAGGAAGTTAGAAACTGTTAGCAACAGTTTCTAAACTCCAAATGCTGCAAGTCTTTAATGGGACATGGTACAATGGAGGCAATCTATTCTGTAGCAGCTACAAAATAGCTGTCTTGAACGCTCTGCAGTGAATAGCGCAGTGATGTTATCATAGTTCAAACGAGCCACCTTACTAAAACAATCCTTAAGAGATCATTTTTTAAAATCTGGTGATTTTGTAGAGATAGCAAGACAACAAAGACTGCAAGCTTAAGTTTCACTGAAACTTGTTTCCGAATTTGCCCACGTCGGACATAAGCCTGCCAATTCAGTGCTTCGTATACTGAAATGGCCACAGCAGCTCATAACACTTTGGTATGACATGACTCCTCTGCAGTCATGTCCTGCAGATTATGTTGCTTCTTTTCATAAAGACTTTTTTAAAAAGATATATCCATTTGAAAAAGATGAGCATGGACCGGGAAATAATTGTAGCATGATCAAAGTCGGACACCTCCATTAATGTCCATCAATTATGACACAGATGCTTTGAGATATCAATTCCAAATATGAAAATAAAAATCTTTCTAGCAAGCTGGCTTCTTGCATGCACTTGGGCAGAGTGTAGGGTTAAGTAATAAATGCTTGCAGTGTTTCCTGTTAACCTAGAATTTATCCAGTTTTGTTTTTGTTTTTTTGTTTCAGGTTGCATTTGATGCCGGAAGGAAAACATAATTTGCACCTACGCTTTGCAGACGAATTTAACAGAGTGGTGGAAAAATTTCTTCTATGAAATGTTGCCGGTTGTTACTGAACCACCCTGAGATCTATGGGTATAGAGCAGTATAGAAATTTAATAAATAATAATTGATAAGCAGCAGTTTCTTTGCTGTTCCTACTCATGGGGTGGACAGGACGCTAAGTCCACTTTAATCAGCTTCATCTGGTATGGGGGAAGAGAAAGGGAATCAAATTTCTTCCTGTTATTGCACCAAAATTGTAACATGCTTCTCATGTCAACAGTTTGGCTGTATCTTAACCTTTCGGGGTTTTTACACTTAAATGAGCATTAAAATCTGCCGTTTGGCTATTAAGGACTGCTCATGTTTCTTACCAACTTTAAAAGGAACATTGGGAAGTGCATTAGTTTTAATAGATGTACAATATGATCTATCTTGAAGAAAACAGTCATTATTCAGAGCACATGCCTTTATAGAGTCCTCAATATTTAACACCACACAAAAACCATTGAACAGTTTGACTTCATGACAGATTCTTAATGTTTACACAAAAATGCCACAAAAAACGTGCTTGATCACTGCTATCAGAATCCATGCCTGCTCTATCTGCAGTCTTCTTGCTGCTTTCCCCCCTCATCCTTCAAGCTTTTTATTCTCTTAAAATGGAAAGGTTTAAAAGCCAGCTTTTTTCCCTTTATAGGGAACATGGGACATACGTCATTGAGCAATTAATACCCCAAATATAATCTAACTATGGAACTGAAGATAAACTGTACAACTCAGTGGCAAAGTCCTCCCTCTGAAGAAAAAGTTATCAATGAATCAGTCATGATTTAAGTATCTGCATCCTTTGAGGTCCACAGCGCAACAACCGCAAATGTTGCAATTAAAATTTAAACTGTCGAACCTCTAACACACAATTCAGGTTGCAAATTTCTATATTGTGCATTGTGGCAATATAAGGACATTTTTTGAGGGCAGGGAATATCCAAAATTAGCTGAGCATACACCTCTAGATTTTGGTAAAGTGTCCTTCCCCAAACCAGGCTTAGTGGTGGTATAATCCAAAACAGCTGGAAGGGCCAGGTTAGGGGAAGCTGCTGTACGAATTTCTTCTCTTTCATGCTTGCAAAATGTGTAGAGGTGTTCTCAGGTTGTGCCTCAATGGCCTTCTAAACTATTTCTAGATTCCTGAATTTTCAATATGGTTTGTGCAGTTAGCTTCCTTGTCTATGGAGCAGCTGAGAAGTCTTTATTTCAGATAAACTATGATATAAGTAACCTCTGCAGAAAATTATAAAAATTATAAATTTATATAAATTTATAATTTTTATAAAACAGCTGCAGTACAATTGTGTGATCAATAGCTTTCCTAATTGGCTGAATGACAACAGTTGTCTTAACAAGGAACTAAATATATTCTTAAGGGTAACGTTTACAAAGTTCACTTTCAGCTTCATAGCACCCACTTTTCATTATTATGTTGAAATGTTTCCATGACCTATAAAAGTGCTTCCAAATCAAAGGGTTTGGGCAATGAGGGAAATCAACAGTGAAAGCACCAAGTTGAACTGAAAAAGCATGCAGCAGCAGAGCTGAACAGACTGTGCCCCAAAACCACCGCGATCCTAAGCCTCGTCCTCCTCGCCTTCCTCTTCAAACTCTCCTTGCTCATCCGCTGTGGCGTCTTGATATTGCTGGTATTCGGAGACCAGGTCGTTCATGTTGCTCTCGGCCTCCGTGAACTCCATCTCATCCATGCCCTCTCCAGTGTACCAGTGCAGGAAGGCCTTTCGGCGGAACATGGCCGTGAACTGCTCAGAGATCCTCTTGAACAGCTCCTGGATGGCTGTGCTGTTGCCAATGAAGGTGGCGGACATCTTGAGGCCTCGCGGAGGGATGTCGCACACAGCCGTCTTCACGTTGTTGGGGATCCACTCGACAAAGTAGCTGCTGTTCTTGTTCTGGACGTTGAGCATCTGCTCGTCCACTTCCTTCATGGACATTCTGCCCCGGAAAATGGCCGCCACCGTCAGGTAGCGCCCGTGGCGTGGGTCGCAGGCCGCCATCATGTTCTTGGAATCAAACAATTGCTGGGTGAGCTCTGGCACCGACACAGCCCGGTACTGCTGGCTTCCGCGGCTCGTGAGGGGAGCAAAGCCGGGCATGAAGAAGTGCAGGCGAGGGAAGGGCACCATGTTGACCGCCAACTTGCGGAGGTCAGCATTCAGTTGGCCAGGGAACCGCAGGCAGGTGGTGACGCCGCTCATGGTGGCCGACACCAAGTGGTTGAGGTCCCCGTACGTCGGAGTCGTGAGTTTGAGTGTGCGGAAGCAGATATCGTACAAGGCCTCATTGTCAATACAGAAGGTTTCATCCGTGTTCTCCACCAGCTGGTGGACGGACAGCGTGGCATTGTACGGCTCCACCACTGTGTCTGACACCTTAGGGGACGGCATCACGCTGAACGTGTTCATGATCCTGTCAGGATACTCCTCCCGAATCTTGCTGATGAGGAGCGTTCCCATCCCGGATCCCGTGCCGCCGCCCAGGGAATGGGTCAACTGGAAGCCCTGCAAGCAGTCGCAGCTCTCTGACTCCTTCCTCACCACATCCAGCACAGAGTCTACCAACTCAGCTCCCTCTGTGTAGTGGCCCTTGGCCCAGTTATTCCCAGCACCACTCTGGCCTAGAGGAGGAAGCGGAAAGACAAGGATACAGAAACAAATTGGCAACTATTGATTTCTATCTGCTATTGGCATCATGCTCTGGTCCAACTGTTCCTCTTATAAGCAGTGTCCAGAGCCAGCCCACAAAACCAGTTTATTTTCCTCTGGTTCTCAAATATAGTGTTTAAAGACCCAGCTCTCGAAAAGTACATTGGATCAAATATCATGAGCTTTCGCACCTTTGGCAATTTGAGGGTAGGGGATGATGAAACTGGCTCAGAGGAAGGAGAGATCTTTGTACCACATCACCTACTGCATATACCTGGAGATGTGCCACCTTTCTGCCACCTGGCATAACTAGCCTTGCCCTTGTTTCAGTACATGATCAAAAGTTACAGGGAGAATGTATAGGATTAGTAAAACATTCCTCATAGTTGAATTCAAGTAGCTCCCAGGACAGGCAGAAGAGTCAGTGTTTTGGCGTAGGGATGAGATTTGCAGGGAGACTACAGTCACCGAAAGAATATTACATACCAAAGACGAAATTGTCAGGCCGAAAGATCTGGCCGAATGGTCCAGAGCGGACAGAATCCATTGTGCCAGGCTCCAAGTCGACAAGGACGGCACGTGGGACATACTTGTTGCCTGCAGGGAGAACAAAAGAAAGATTTATGAATGCAGTGACCTTGTTAAATTATCTGCAGTCTACTGGGCTCCTGGCAGCCCTCAGCGTTACTCAGAAAAGAATTTTATATTCAGTAGCAGCACTTATTGTGAACAGATCTTCAATGGCAACCACTATTCTCCAAGGTATTTAGTCAGCAAAATCAACTGTACAAAGAAAGCAGGTTTCTGGCATCAGCTTCAGAAAGCAGGCCTTAATCATGCTCTAGCCTCGGTTATGCCTTTACACCTTTGTACAAGCTCAGAGGAAAGCATGCATCATTCTCCCCTCGTTTGCCGGGTCTTTCACATCACCCACTATCCAGTCCTTTTAACTTGAGATGCACCTGCTCTATCACTGAATTGGTCCCTCCCCATAGCCCACCCATCTATGTTGTAGCCCATCAGCTGTTACCGCAATCCCCTTTGAAGTAAGACAGGGGTCTTACTATGTTTCCAAGCACAATTCAAAGTGTTGGTGCTGACCTTTAAAGCCCTAAACGGCCTCAGCCCAGTATACCTGAAGGAGCGTCTCCAGCCCCATCGTTCAGCTGGACACAGAAGTTCAGCTCCGAGGCCCTTCTGGCAGTTCCCTCCCTGCAAGAAGTAAGGTTGCAGGGAACCAGACAAAGGGCCTTCTTGGTGGTGGTGCCCTCCCTGTGGAACGCCCTCCATCAGATGTCAAGGAAATAAGCAACTTTCTGATGTAAGACACCTGAAAGCAGCCCTGTTTAGAGAAGTTTTTAATATTTCATCTTTTGCTATGTCTTTAATGTTTTGCTGGGATCTGCCCATAGGGGCTGGGGAAATACAGCCAGATGGGTGGGGTATAAATAATAAATTATTATTATTACCTGACTTCTGGTGATTGGCAGGTGGTAGTCCTGCTCACCTGTCAAGGTTGTCCTGTGTGTTCGTATACATGTGTGTATAGAGACTACAGCAGCCAGAGTCACTTCCCCACCTGTACTTTATAGGTACCCATGGAAAGTTTTGTCTGCAATATTTATTATTACAAGGTTATTCGCTTTCAATTACAGAAATCATAAATAACCTTCGACAGCCAGAAGCAACAATGTCAATGTTTCCCCTCCCAAGCAAAAAAACCCTGTGTTTGAAAACACATAATTAGGGAGCTTATGGCAGGCAGGCTGCATCTTAGAACAAAGAAATTCTTCCCATTCCCCTCACACAGAAGGAAATTCATCTAAGGTGGGTCTGGACACAAAAATAGGAAGAGCATCTGTTTATAAAAATAAAAAAGGCTCTTTGCAAGAACTGTGTATTTATCTGCAGATTTAATTAGATGGAAGCGGTGCAATCGTATCAATCAAGATTTCTGTAAATGGGCAAGAGACTCATTTCCGGAGGCAGCTAGAAGCACTTCCTTAAAAAGACAAGCACTCCATTTTTACCGGCAGCTTCATTGTAGTAGACGTTGATCCTCTCAAGCTGCAGGTCGCTGTCTCCATGGTAGCTGCCTGTCGGGTCAATGCCGTGCTCGTCGCTGATGACCTCCCAGAACTGAAATGGGAATTGTGGACAGCGATTTAGCAAGTGCGACGAGGAAGCATGACTAAAACGTGCAGCTGCCGCGGCCACACCTTAGCCACCATACTGCAAGCACATGATCCTCTGCGCCATGACGAGACAGATTCCCTTCACACAAAGCAATGCCAACAGGGCATAGGAAGGCAGGATGTTAAATTTCACGAATGGACATACTATTAGGGGAAGGGACCTGTTTAAATGTTGGGGGAGGGACTTGTTTAACAAAGAAAGAAGCCAATTAGTTTCCGGCTTTGCACCATCACAGTGCTCCAAATACAGGCTGCATCCTCTGCAGAGGGGCGAGGCAACCTAAAAGCTTATCGTTATAACTGGATTGCTGCAAGTTCTAACACACTGTGAGACAGATCTGGCCCCGACCGAAAGCGAAGGCCTTTATTGTTTCCCGCAAGATCTGCCCTATGAAGCGGCAGGGAGGGGCAGGGAAAGGTGGTCGTTGCATCCGAGGCTTTGCGAAAGAGGAGGCGCATCGTAGACATAACCCCGGGGAGGGTTTTCCTACTGCTCTGCCCCACCCCCAATCCTTCAGCTTAATTCTTGGGTGGCAATTAATGCCTTTCATTGGAGACGCAAGAGTGGCTGGGGAAACTCAGCCAGATGGGCGGGGTATAAATATATTATATTATTATATTATTATATTATTAGAAACGACACGGCTGGTCCCCACAATAGATCCCCCCCACCAGATTCCCTCGCCCCCGCTTTCCCATGATACCTTGGCTCCAATCTGATTCCCGCACTGGCCGGCTTGCATGTGCACGATCTCCCGCATGGCTGCGACTTTGTTTCAGGCGATGACCCGATTGCTACCTTCCGGAAAGAAAAAGCTGCGCCTTACAGTAGACGACAAAAGCAGGAAACAAGGGCGCGCCTCCCTCCTCCCCCGAGGGCTCTTTTATAGCGGGAGGCGCGTGGCTCCGCCCCTTCCCTTCCCGGCCTGGCGGCAGGGCGGGGCTAAAGGCACCTAGAAGCCTCCTTGTCTCTCGCTCACGCCTCCGCTGCTCGCGCCCGAGGGAGGGAGGGGGCAGGGAGCGGCGGCGGCCTGGATTTGACCGACCTCGCTCCGCGCTCCAAGCAGGTGGTTTCCTAGGGGCGACCCTAATATTGCAAAGCGGGTCCTCGCTGTGCCGACTTTTGGTCTTTTCAACGGGGTTTTCATTTTGGCACCTGCCTGCAGCAGACACCATTTTGATGCGCTCTAAGGTTTTCTTTTCCCCCGATCCAAAAGCAGATAGACTGTTGTGGGCCCGGGAGCTCAGTCTAAGGGTTGCGTTTTTCTGCTGTGGTCAGAAATCTCCGATTTGCCCCTTCCCCACCCAGCCCTTTCACATCCTGCTTCATCCAATGAGTGGGCATCGCCGAATACAAAGGAATGTGGGATTGTTAAGAAACGACTCACGCTGCTGGGGAAATGCCTAGCTGCTGGTTCATACTACTCTGATGAAAGAGTGAGAAAAGAGCAGGCTGTGGAGTAGGAAAAGCAGCTGATTTCCCAATAACTTGAGGGGGATTTGGCTGACAAGTGCAGGGCACACAGTCTGCAAGTCCCTTTATAAGCGATTTCTTTTATATCCCAGAATTCCCTCCTATCTGTGAGGAGGAGGTGGTAGCAACCTTGACCAGGTAGTTTGAGACTTAGCCTACCTACCTTTCAATGCAGTTGTGGAAGCAATGACATAATCAGGCTCCCATAGCCTTCCTCTTCTGTGTCAAGACTTCCATCCAAGAAACTATCATTAGGATTGTATCCCCCTTTTTATGTTTACTAATGTGGGGTAATTGGTCTTTTCACCTTTGGTTGTGACTGAGTGGGACTCTCAGTGGGGAGTTTTGTGCCCAGAGAGTAACATGTCAGGGGACTAGTAGAGATTTTGGAACACACCTGTTGTATCACTGCCTTTCTTTTTTGTTGTGTAGCGTGCTGTCTCCCCATTGCCAATGTTTCTTCCTTCCCTCTCTCATACTCTTAGTTCCATGTGGGTGTGAGCAGAGTGCTCCCCACCTCTGCTGAGGTTCATGTGCATTTATGATTGTGGACATCTCTAGCACTGTGTGGAGATGCAGCATATTCCTGGGGCCTCTGGACAGAACATAGTGTTATGGGTTTGTGGGGACCAGACTCTCCTAAATTCCTGGGTCCAGGAAATGTTAAAAAATAAGCCAGGCCTGTTTCCTGATGAGCCATTTAGAGAACAAAGGGAAGGTAATGAGCCATTAGAGAAACAAAGAGAGGGAGCTCTGTGTCAGAGGGCAAATAGAAAGGGCCCCTCCTTCAACTCAGAGTGAATTTGAAGACAAGGCAGAGTTTGAGAGCTCGCTGTGATGTGAGTGAGAAACTGGAGAAAAAGCAGCAGGCAGAGAATGAGGAGCCATGGCTGATTTCTGCTTGAATCCGAGGCTGCAACTATGGGAGAAACAATACCCTTTTGTGTGTTAATCATATGCTCAGGTTGTTTATATGTGTAAATAAAGGTGTGGGAATGTTGAGGAAAGTAGGAGAGGATATATTGATTAAGTATTATCCCTCCTCACTCACGCTAGTGAGCAAACAGCAGAGCACATTCCCTTGCTGGAAGCAAGTTGATGATTTGTTAGAATCATTTAAGTTAAGCAATCTAGTCTGGCTGCTCCAGTCTGGATTGTTCCTGGCAAATTGTCCCCTTTATTTCCCTCCTAAAATAATAATAACATGACAGTCTTGTTTAGACGAGTAAGGTTTACTTACATTCAGTTCACAGTAGTATTCTGAAGGCAGGTTTTATCCTGTGGTCACAGTTACATTTGTAGAGAAGTCTGAGCTAGGCCTCAGACTTTCTACCTTGTGGCTTCCATCCTCCGTAAGGATGAGCCATGTGCCAGCTAAGAGCCAGAAGAGGAGTCCGAAAGGAGAAAATGGGGAAAAATGGAAGATGACTGCATGACTAGCCCTTTTGTAGGGTCTGCTAGGGTCATGCCAATCTAACTGGTCAAACACAGGGGGAGGTAGCTCCAGAGCAGGTATGACAGGAAGTCCTCCCTGTCTGGGGCAACATTCTCCTGTGTGTCCACTCTAGGCAACAGGAAATGTAGTTGACGGCTTCAGTGATGATACATTCCACAAAAGACACCACAGTCTCTGCTGTGCCTCATTTCCAGTAAGAAACCTGGACCCCTGGTAAGCGTCTGAAACTTCTGGAATCTCACAATTCTTGGAGACTGGGGTGATGGGCAACAGTATTTAGCTGCATTTCTTCTTTTTCTTGGCTATTTATGATTCTCTCAGCCAACATGCCTAGTTTAAGAGCTCAAAGAAGCATATTTTAAAGGTTGTGCATATATGTCATATCTCCTTGGTTTTACTTATCTCATCTGCTTTCTCTTTAAAATTAAATATTTTATTATTGAAAGTTTGTATATTTTCCACAATTATACTTTCACCAATAAAATAATGCAGTCATTGGCTTCCCTTCTTCAGCTCCCATGGTTCTTTTAAGTTTCCCATCATTACTGCATAGTCTATTCTAACCATCTAAATCACACCCCTTTAAATATTACCTCAGCATGATTTTTACTGTTGAATTTACCTTAATCCTGCTAGCGTTTTCACTTGTTTACAATTATTTCCCCATAATTCTCCTGGGTAGACCCACTGATTCTGCATACTCCATCTTGAACTGCCATTCTTCCTTCTTTGGATCTTCTCCCACCCTCCATTTTATCCCATCTGCTTTCTAATTTCCTGCATTTTCAAACTTAAATGACAAAAAAATGCAAACATACTCTGTGTGTTTATTTCAAGGCCATGGAGTCCTGTTGAACAACAAACCATTTTAGTGCTTAGCGAGAGCTCTCTTTAATGAGCGTTCAATTTTAATGATTTGTTACTTTTTGTTTGCTGAAATTGCCAGGAGATGAAAGGTTCCTTTGAGGGATCACCCAGAAGTCCCTTCTGCCCCAGAGACCGTACCTTGGAAGCCAGCTTATATTTTTGCAGCTCTCCTTGGTGTTGTGTTGCAACTTTATTCCCTGTGTGTACCAAGGGACAAGCACCTCATTGCCTCTACCAAGGAAAGGCTACACACACCATCTTTCTTTGAAGACACCTGTACTTAATGTCTGAACATCAGGGACGCACACAGAGATGTGGCTCCTCAGCACCATTCCACATTTGGTGCCTCATTGCGCAATGCATGCAAGATTAATGTTCCTGAGATCCCTGAGCATCCATGTGGCAGCAAGGGCATCTTCCTCCACAAAAATCATTACCCCCTTCGTTAAGAAAAAGAGCAGGTTTTTAGCATGCGTTGTGAGAAACTAACCTGCTCCCACCTTCTGGGTTTTCAGCGTTCTATTTCCAAGTTGTTCATAAACTAAGCTGTTCTAAAACCAAAGTACCATTGTATTGCTTAGTTCTTAAGAATGGAGTACTAAATCGGGGAAAACGTGTCAGTTTTTTGTTACTACTTATGTATTTTATAGAGGGACGCGGCTGGTGCTGTGGGTTAAACCACAGAGCCAAGGACTTGCCGATCAGGTGGTCGGTGGTTCGAATCCCCACGACGGGGTGAGCTCCCGTTGCTCGGTCCAAGCTCCTGCCGACCTAGCAGTTCGAAAGCACGACAAAGTGCAAGTAGATTAATAGGTACCGCTCCGGCGGGAAGGTAAACGGTGTTTCCGTGTGCTGTTCTGGTTCGCCAGAAGCGGCTTAGTCATGCTGGCCACATGACCTGGAAGCTGTATGCCGGCGAGGTGAGCGCCGCAACCAGAGTTGGCCACGACTGGACCTAATGGTCAGGGGTCCCTTTACCTTTATTTTATGTAATTTGTTTCACTTGGCCCTCCTGATGGTTGAAAGAGGGCAAAATGTTTACATTCAAATTGTTTTCCCAAGTACAATGAAATGTGGTACTTTGAAGGATAAGATAAGGGCCTGAGGAGATGCAGCTGTGGTTCTTGGCTGTGTATCACCCAGAGTGATCCTGTGTAGGCTGTTGAGTATATCAGCATGAACACTGGTACACTCAGTTCGTGGACTGCAGGCGTGAGGCCTGTTGATCATAGGATTCCAAACATGGTATCGCTTTAGATTAGAAGCACTTTAAGGGAATTGGGGGAAGGAGAACCTAACTCCACTGCTGATACTCCAGACTAAAATACGCCATAAAAAGTGGTGCCACTCCTCCCTCTCCCACATTTTACACAGTTGATTTCCTTTAAAAGGAAGATGTTCAGTAAACGTGTGCATGTCACGAGTGCTTCAGATGCTGGGCTTGACAAAACCAAAGAGTGGTAGAACTGGAGGACTTGGAAGGGAGGCAAAGGGTCATCTGTCCAAACCCCTGCGATGCAGGAACCACAGCTAAAGAATCCCAGACATCTTCCTCACAAGGGAGCTATTGGGATGAGAATTCAAGTTCTGGGATAAAAAACTGAATAGATTTTAGGAACAAATGACAACCCAGCAGATTTTGGTTAGCCACCTCCAAACAAAATGCACAAGGTGAAGTAAGATGTTTTTGTTATGGTTAGGGGTATTAGCATTGAAATATATAAATTTCAGGGGCTCATGAGAGTGTTTAGCTCCTTTAAAGAAGAACAAGCATAGGCCAAATGGGCTAGTTTATTAACCCTCGTTTAGAAAGCTTTGTTTCAGTCCTTTACAACCACGTTTTTCAAATTCCACCCTGAATAAGGCATTTGTTCATTTAATACAGGTTTTCCCAAACATGGATCACCAGTTGTTTTTGTCATCATCATTCCTGACAGCTGATTCTGCTAGCTAGGGATAATGGGAGTTGTAGTCCAAGAGCAACTGGAGACACAAGTTTGGGAAACACTTTCCACCCCCCACCACCCCCATTATTCCTTAGGGCAGACATGTCCAACTAGTCAATTGCGGGGCATCCATGCTCGATCGCGTGATCCTGATTGATCGCCCAAAAAGAAAAAATAGCTCAACAACTTTGGTTAATCCAATGGGTAGATCACTGCCAGTTTTTTAATAGTTGGAGTACATCACAGTCTCTTGGGAGTTGGGACTTGCCTGCCCTAGGGAATGCAGAAAAATGGGTTCCTGTCCCAGTCCTAGGAAGGTGGTAAAGGAAACCATGTCTGTCTTTCTACCCAGCATGAAGGAAAGAGAGAGTGACAGATCTTGACTCTTCCTCCGTTAAACAGGCAGGTTCCACACGTTCTCTCAGCAAATTATATTCTCAGCAGCCACTCCTCCAAGGTTTCAGGTGCATGTAGTGATCTGAAGGAGAACCTAAAGTCTTACCATCAGTGGCCGCAATCTTCTGCGTTCTCAGGAAGCTTCAGAGGCACAGGCCCAATCTTGTTTTCCTGTAATTATGATAATCATTTACCATACCTTCAAGAAATTAGTTTTAGGCTGAGGTCTTGACTCTCCTCTTTGAAGATGAGTGTGATTAGGATTTTTTTATATATATAAAAAAAATTGACTAAATTAATTACAAAAGAAAACAATTCCTCACTGTAATGAACATGAGTGCAGCTCCTAAATTGAGTTGTGGTAGACCAGTTACTTAGACACCACCTCTATTGAGGGACCATCTGCAGGAAAAATGAAGTTTGTACTGTAATTCTTGATGCATTAATTAGGGGTAAAGTAGCAACTTACTTTTCAATGGACAACAGTACTCCTTAATGTCAGGGCGATTTGGGCTTCAGACTTGTTATGACACTGTTGAAAAGATGTTTCTTGCCTTTGTCTTCAAAGTATACCCCAGCTTCCTTAAATAGGGATGTGGATTCTGTGAGCTTCCAAGTGATGTTGGACTAAAACTCCCACTCGCCATTCTCCCTGTGGCTGATGGGAGTTGGAGTCCAACAATATCTGGAAGACCACAGGTCCCTCGTCGCTCAATTAGGAAACGCCCCAAGAAGCCTGACAATCAACATTATCTTTTAACATAGTGTTAGCACCCCAAGGAGAGCATAATGATCTAAATATTTTACAAAATGTGTAGAGGTGTTCTCAGGTTGTTCCTCAATGGGCTTTCCAAACTACTATTTCTAGATTCCTGAATTTTCAATACGGCTTGTGTAGTTAGCTTCCTTGTCTATGGAGCAGCTGAGAAGTCTTTATTTCAGATAAACTATGACATAAGTAACTTCTGCAATATATATAAAAATTATAAATTTATAATTTATATAAATTTATAATTTTTATAAAACAGCTGCAGTACAATTGTATGATCAATAGCTTTACACATATAGCTGAAGGACAACAGTTGTCTTAACAAGGAAGGAAGTATATTCTTAAGGGTAAAATTTACAAAGTTTACTTTTAGACCCAATTTAAAGTGTGGAGAGCTTCATAGCACCCACTTTTCATTATTATGTTGAAATGTTTTAATGACCTATAAAAGTGCTTCCAAATCAAAGGGTTTGGGCAATGAGGGAAATCAACTGTTAAAGCACCAAATTGAACTGAAAAAGCATGCAGCAGCAGAGCTGAACAGACTGTGCCCCAAAACACTTGCCCTAAACCACTGCGATCCTAAGCCTCGTCCTCCTCGCCTTCCTCCTCAAACTCTCCTTGCTCGTCCGCTGTGGCGTCTTGATATTGCTGGTATTCGGAGACCAGGTCGTTCATGTTGCTCTCGGCCTCCGTGAACTCCATCTCATCCATGCCCTCTCCGGTGTACCAGTGCAGGAAGGCCTTTCGGCGGAACATGGCCGTGAACTGCTCAGAGATCCTCTTGAACAGCTCCTGGATGGCCGTGCTGTTGCCAATGAAGGTGGCGGACATCTTGAGGCCTCGCGGAGGGATGTCGCACACAGCCGTCTTCACGTTGTTGGGGATCCACTCGACAAAGTAGCTGCTGTTCTTGTTCTGGACGTTGAGCATCTGCTCGTCCACCTCCTTCATGGACATTCTGCCCCGGAAAATGGCCGCCACCGTCAGGTAGCGCCCGTGGCGTGGGTCGCAGGCCGCCATCATGTTCTTGGAATCAAACAATTGCTGGGTGAGCTCTGGCACTGACACGGCCCGGTACTGCTGGCTTCCGCGGCTCGTGAGGGGAGCAAAGCCGGGCATGAAGAAGTGCAGGCGAGGGAATGGTACCATGTTGACTGCCAGCTTGCGGAGGTCAGCATTCAGTTGGCCAGGGAACCGCAGGCAGGTGGTGACGCCACTCATGGTGGCCGACACCAAGTGGTTGAGGTCCCCGTACGTCGGAGTCGTGAGTTTGAGTGTGCGGAAGCAGATATCGTACAAGGCCTCATTGTCAATACAGTAGGTTTCATCCGTGTTCTCCACCAGCTGGTGGACGGACAGCGTGGCATTGTAGGGCTCCACCACTGTGTCTGACACCTTAGGGGACGGCATCACGCTGAACGTGTTCATGATCCTGTCAGGATACTCCTCCCGAATCTTGCTGATGAGGAGCGTCCCCAGTCCGGAGCCCGTGCCGCCGCCCAGGGAATGGGTCAACTGGAAGCCCTGCAAGCAGTCACAGTTCTCCGACTCCTTCCTTACCACATCCAGCACAGAGTCCACCAGCTCAGCTCCCTCTGTGTAGTGGCCCTTGGCCCAGTTATTCCCAGCACCACTCTGGCCTAGAGGAAGAAGCAGAAAGACAACGATACAGAAACAAATTGGCAACTATTGATTTCTATCTGATAATGGCATCATGCTCTGGTCCAACCGTTCTTATGAGCAGCGTCCAGACCCAGACTACAAAATCGGTTTACTTTCCTCGGGTTCTCAAATACAGTGGTACATCGGGATGCGAACGGGATCCGTTCTGGAGCTCCATTCGCATCCTGAAGCGAATGTAACAAGCAACGCGTCTGCGCGTGTCGCATTTTGCCGCTTCCGCGTGACGTCACTTTGAGCGTCTGCGCATGCGTGAGTGGCGAAACCCGGAAGTAACACACTCTGTTACTTCCGGGTTGCCGCGGAGCGCATCTCGAACACGCGCAACCCGAAGCACATTCAAACCGAGGTATGACTGTATAGTATTTAAAGACCCAGCTCTGAAAAAGTACATTGGATCAAATATCATGAGCTATCGTACCTTTTGCAATTTGATGGAAGGAGATGATGAAACTGGCTCAGGGGAAGGAGAGATCGTTGTACCACATCATCTACTGCATATACCTGGAGATGTGCCACCTTTCTGCCACCTGGCATAACTAGCCTTCCACTTGTTTCAGTACATGATCAAATGTTACAGGAAGTGTACAGGATTCATCAACATTCCTCATGGGTTCCGAGCACAGTTCAAAGTGTTGGTGTTGACCTTTAAAGCCCTAAACGGCCTCGGCCCAGTATACCTGAAGGAGCATCTCCACCCCCATCGTTCTGCCAGGACGCTGAGGTCCAGCGCCGAGAGCCTTCTGGCGGTTCCCTCATTGCAAGAAGCAAAGCTACAGGGAACCAGGCAGAGGGCCTTCTCAGTAGTAGCGCCCGCCCTGTGGAACGCCCTCCCATCAGATGTCACAGAGATAAACAACTACCTGACATTCAGAAGACATCTGAAGGCAGCCCTGTTTAGGGAAGATTTTTTTATGTGACATCTTAGTGTATTTTTGGTCTTTGTGGAAGCCGCCCAGAGTGGCTGGGGAAACCAGATGGGCGGAGTACAAATAATAAATTATTATTATTATTGTTGAATTCAAGTGTCTCCCAGGACAGGCAGAAGTCAGCTGTTTTGCATAGGAATGATATTCACAGAACATTTGGAATAAATAGGTATGAGCAATCCAGCAGCTGCTTCAAGATACAATGAGCGCCTGTCAATAACAGAGACTACAGTCACCGAAAGAATATTACATACCAAAGACGAAATTGTCAGGCCGAAAGATCTGGCCGAATGGTCCAGAGCGGACAGAATCCATTGTGCCAGGCTCCAAGTCCACAAGGATGGCACGGGGGACATACTTGTTGCCTGCAGGGAGAACAAAAGATTTATGAATGCAGTGACCTCGTTCAATTATCGGCAGTCTACTGGGCTCCTGGCAACCCTCAGCGTTACTCAGAAAAGAATTTTATATCTCAACCCAATGTGCTGCTTTTGCGCATGCCTGCATGCTGAAACCCAGAAAAAATACTTCCGGGTTTGCCGCGTTCGCATCCTGAAAGATACACAACCAGAGGTGTGGTTATGTAGGGGTACCAGTGTATCTTTTAGAAGACATCTGAAGGCAACCCTGTTTGGGAAAGTGTTTAAATATTTCATCTTATACCATGTTTTTAATGTTGTGCTGGGAGCCACCCAGAGTGGCTGGGGAAATACAGCCAGATGGGTGGGGTATAATAAATTATTATTATCAACCGACACCTGGTGATTGGCAGGTGTGGTACGTCCTGCTCACCTGTCAAGGTTGGCCTGTGTGTGTGTGTGTACATGTGTGCATAGAGACCACAGCAGCCAGAGTCACTTCCCCACCTGTACTTCATAGGTACCCATGGAAAGTTTTGTCTGCAAGGTTTTATTATTACAAGGTTATTCATTTTCAGTTACAGAAATCATAAATAACCTTCAGCATCCAGAAGCAGCAATGTCATTGTTGTCCCCACCCCCGAAAAACCTGTTTTCATTACTTTAATACCTTTTCTGCCCCCACCCCAGACAGAGGAAGAGAAATTTTAAATCCTTTAATACAGCCCCAGTTTACTGGCCAGGTGTGCATTTTTCTTCTTCTTCCCAAGTCTATTTTTAGTTTGAAAGCACATAATTAGGGAGCTTATGGCAGGCTGCATTTTAGAACAAAGAAATTCTTCCTATTCCCCTCAAAGAGAAGGAAATTTATCTAAGGTGGGTCTGGACACAAAAATAGGAAGAGCATCTGTTTATAAAAATAAAAAAGGCTCTTTGCAAGAACTGTATTTATCTGCAGATTTAATTAGTTGGAAGCCATGCAATCTATCTATCAAGATTTCTGTAAATGGGCAAGAGACTCATTTCCGGAGGCAGCTAGAAGCACTTCCTTAAAAAGACAAGCACTCCATTTTTACCGGCAGCTTCATTGTAGTAGACGTTGATCCTCTCAAGCTGCAGGTCGCTGTCTCCATGGTAGCTGCCTGTCGGGTCAATGCCGTGCTCGTCGCTGATGACCTCCCAGAACTGAAATGGGAATTGTGGACAGCGATTTAGCAAGTGCGACGAGGAAGCATGACTAAAAACGTGCAGCTGCCGCGGCCACACCTTAGCCACCATACTGCAAGCACATGATCCTCTGCGCCATGACGAGACAGATTCCCTTCACACAAAGCAATGCCAACAGGGCATAGGAAGGCAGGATGTTAAATTTCACGAATGGACATACTGTTGGGGGAAGAGGGGAGGGACTCGTTTAACAAAGAAAGAAGCCAATTGGCTTCCGGCTTTGCACCATTACGCGCACACCCAACCAGCTTGAACGCTGCTCCAAATACAGGCTGCATCCTCTGCAGAGGGGCGAGGCAACCTAAAAGCCTGCCGTTATAACTAGATTACTGCTAGTTCTAACACTGTGCGAGACGGATCTGGCCCCGACCGAAAGCGAAGGCCTTTATTGTTTCCCGCAAGATCTGCCCTATGAAGCGGCAGGGAGGGGCAGGAAAAGATGGTCGTCGCATCCGAGGCTTGCGAAAGAGGCGGCGCATCGTAGACGCACAGCTGCCAACTTTTCCCTTTTCTTGCGAGGAATCCTACTCGGAATAAGCGAATTTCCCTTTAAAAAAGGGGGAAGGTTGACAGCTATGCGTAGACATAACCCCGGGGAGATTTTTCCTAGTGCTCTGCCCCCCCCCCCAATCCTTCAGCTTAATTCTTAGGTGGTGATTAATGCCTTCCATCGGAGACGCAAGAAAAGGAAACGACACGGCTGGTCCCCACAATAGATCCCCCCCACCAGATTCCCTCGTCCCCGCTTTCCCATGATACCTTGGCTCCAATCTGATTCCCGCACTGGCCGGCTTGCATGTGCACGATCTCCCGCATGGCTGCGACTTCGTTTCAGGCGATCACCCGCTTGCTACCTTCCGGAAAGAGAAAACTGCGACTTGCTCTCTCGACAACAGCAGCAGCAGGAAACAAGGGCGCGCCTCCCTCCTCCCCCGAGGCTCTTTTATAGCGGGAGCGCGTGGCTCCGCCCCTTCCCTTCCCGGCCTGGCGGGAGGGGGAGGGGCTAAAGGCACCTAGAAGCCTCCTTGTCTCTCGCTCACGCCTCCGCTGCTCGCGCCCGAGGGAGGGAGGGGCGGGGCGGCGGCGGCGGCGGCGGCGGCGGCGGCGGCCTGGATTTGACCGGCCCCGTCCCGCGCACGGAAGCAGGTGGTTTCCTAGGGGCGACCCTAATATTGCAAAGCGGGTCCTCGCTGTGCCGGCTTTTGGTCTTTTCAGCGGGGTTTTATTTTTGCGCCTGCCTGCAGCAGACACCATTTTGATGCGCTCTAAGGTTTTCTTTTCCCCCGATCCAAAAGCAGATAGACTGTTGTGGGCCTGGAAGCTCAGGCTAAGGGTTGCGTTTTTCTGCTGCGGTCAGTAATCTCCGATTTTTCCCTCCCCCACCCAGCCCTTTCACATCCTGCTTCATCTAATGAGTGGGCATCGCCGACTACAAAGGAATGTGGGATTGTCAAGAAACGACTCTCGCTGCTGGGGAAATGCCTAGCTGCTGGTTCATACTACTCTGGTGAAAGAGTGAGAAAAGAGCAGGCTGTGGGAAAGTAGCTGTTTTCCCGACTTGAGGGAGATTTGGTTGACAAGTGCAGGGCACACGGTCTCCAAGTCCCTTTATAAGCGATTTCTTCTATATCCCAGAATTCCCTCCTATCTGTAAGGAGGAAAGGGGGTGGTAACCTTGACCAGGTAGTTTGAGACTTAGCCTACCTACCTTTCAATGCAGTTGTGGAAGCAATGACATAATCAGGCTCCCATAGCCTTCCTCTTCTGTGGCAAGACTTCCATCCAAGAAACTATCATTAGGATTGTAGCCCCTTTTTTTGTTTACTAGTGTGGGGTAATTGGTCTTTTCACCTTTGGTTGTGACTGAGTGGGACTCTCAGTTGGGAGTTTTGTGCCCAGAGAGTAACATGTCAGGGGACTAGTAGAGATTTTGGAACACACCTGTTGTATGACTGCCTTTCTTTTTTGTTGTGTAGCGTGCTGTCTCCCCATTGCCATTGTTTCTTCCTTCCCTCTCTCTCTCATACTCTTAGTTCCATGTGGGTGTGAGCAGAGTGCTCCCCACCTCTGCTGAGGTTCATGTGCATTTATGATTGTGGACATCTCTAGCACTGTGTGGAGATGCAGCATATTCCTGGGGCCTCTGGATGGAACATAGCGTTATGAGTTAGTGGGGACCAGACTCCCCTAAATTCCTGGGTCCAGTAAATGTTAAAAAATAAGCCAGGCCAGTTTCCAGATCAGGTAATCGCCTGGGAGATGAGCCATTTAGAGAACAAAGGGAAGGTAATGAGTCATTAGGGAAGCAAAGAGAGGGAGCTCTGTGTCAGAAGGCAAATAGAAAGGGCCCCTCCTTCAACTCAGAGTGAATTTGAAGACAAAGTCAGAGTTTGAAGTAGAGTTTGAGAGCTGGCTGTGATGTGAGCGAGAAACTGGAGGAAAAACAGCTAGCTGAGATGCAGGGAGCCGTGGCTGATTTCTGCTTAAATCCAAGGCTGCAGCTATGGGAGAAACAATACCCTTTTGTGTGTTAATCATATGCTCAGGTTGTTTATATGTGTAAATAAAGGTGTGGGTATGTTGAGGAAAGTAGGAGAGGATATATTGATTAAGTATTATCCCTCCTCACTCACGCTAGTGAGCAGCAGAGCACATTCCCTTGCAGGTTGCTGGAAGCAAGTTGATGATTTGTTAGGATCATTTAAGTTAAGCAGTTCAGTCTGGCTTGTCCAGTCTGGATTGTTCCTGGCAAATTGTTCCTTTTATTTCCCTCCTAAAATAATAACATGACAGTCTTGTTTAGAAGTAAGAGTAAAGTTTACTTACATTCAGTTCACAACAGTATTCTGAAGGCAGGTTTTATCTTGTGGTCACAGTTACATTTCCAGAGAAAAGGAGTCTGAGCTAGGCCTCAGACTTTCTACCTTGTGGCTTCCATCCTCTGTAAGGATGAGCCATGTGCTGGCTAAGAGCCAGAAGAGGAGTCCGAAAGGAGAAAATGGAAAAAGAGGGGAAGATGGCTTTGTGGCTAGCCCTTTTTCTAGGGTCTGCTAGCGTCACACCCATCTACCTGGTCACACTGGTCACACACAGGGGGAGGAGGCTCTAGAGCAGGTATGGCAGGAAGTCCTCCCTGTCTGGAGCAACATTCTCCTGTGTGTCCACTCTAGGCAACAGGAAATGTAGTTGACTGCTTCAGTGATGATACATCCCACAAGAGACACCATAGTCTCTGCTGTGCCTCATTTCCAGTAGCAAACCTGGACCCCTGGTAAGCGTCTGAAACTTCTGGAATCTCACAATTCTTGGAGACTGGGGTGATGGGCAACAGTATTTAGCTGCATTTCTTCTTCTTCTTGGCTATTTATGATTCTGTCAGCCAACATGCCTAGTTTAAGAACTCAAAGAAGCATATTTTAAAGGTTGTGCATATAAGTTTTACTTATCACATCTGCTTTCTCTTTAAAAATATTTTTTATATTGAAAGTTTATTTTCCACAATTATGCTTTCACCAATAAAATAATGCTATCATTGGCTTCCCTTCTTCAGTTCCCATGGTTCTTTTAAGTTTCCCATCATTACTGCATAGTCCATTCTAACCATCTAAATCACCCCTTTAAATATTACCTCAGCACAGTGGCGTAGCGTGGGGGGTGCAGGGGGGGGCGGCCACACCGGGCGCAACATCTGGGGTTAGGGCAAATCCACAGGTTAGGGGCGTCCATGGGTTAGGGGGCGCAAATCCACGGGTTAGGGGGCGCAAATTACTTGCCTTGCCCCGGGTGCTGACAACCCACGCTACGCCACTGCCTCAGCATGATTTTTACTGTTGAATTTGCCTTAATCCTGCTAGCGTTTTCACTTGTTTACAATTACCGTATTTCCCCATAATTCTCCTATTCTGCTGGTTAGACCCACTGATTCTGCATACTCCCACCGTCTTGAACTGCCATTCTTCGGATCTTCTCCCACCCTCCATTTTATCCCATCTGCCTTCTAATTTCCTGCATTTTCAACCTTAAATTACAGAAAATGCAAACATACCTCTGTGTTTATTCTAAGGCCATGGAGTCCTGTTAAACAACAAACTATTTTAGTGTTTATAGAGAGCTCTATTTAATGAGCTGTTTGATTTTAATGATTTGTTACTTTTTGTTTGCTGAAATTGCCAGGAGAAGGGTTCCTTTGGGGGATCACCCAGAAGTCCCTTCTGCCCAAGAGACCGTACCTTGAAAGTCAGCTTATATTTTTGCAGCTCTCCTTGGTGTTGTGTGCAACTTTATTCGCTCTGTGTACTAAGGGACAAGCACATCATTGCCTCTACCAAGGAAAGGCTACACACACCATCTTTCTTTGAAGACACCTGTACTTAATGTCTGAACATAAGGGACGCACGCAGAGATGTGGCTCCACAGCTCCATTCCACATTTGTTCCCTCATTGCACGATGCATGCAAGGTTAATGTTCCTGAGATCTGTGAGCATCCATGTGGCAGCAAGGGCATCTTCCTGCACAAAAATCATACCCCCTTTGTTAAGAAAAAGAGCAAGATTTTAGCAGGTTTTTAACCTGCTCCCACCTTCTGGGTTTTCAGCGTTCTATTTCCAAATTGTTCATAAACTAAGCTGTTCTAAAACCAAGGTACCACTGTATTGCTTAGTTCTTAAGAATGGAGTACTAAATCAGGGGAAACGTGTTATAGTTTTTTTGTTACTACTTATGTATTTTATATTTCACTCCGGTCCTCCTGATGGTTGAAAGGGGGCAAAATGTTTATATTCAAAATGTTCTCCCAGGGACGATGAAATGTGGTACTTCGAAGGAAAAGTTAAGGACCTGAGGAGACCTTTACTACCATGCTGCTGTGGTTCTTGGCTGTGTATCACCCAGAGTGATCCTGTGTAGGCTGTTGAGTATATCAGCATGAACACTGGTACACTCAGTTCGTGGACTGCAGGCGTGAGGCCTGTTGATCACAGGATTCCAAACATACTATCGCTTTAGATTGGAAACGCTTAAGGGAATTGGGGGAAGGGGAACCTAACTCCTCTACTGACGCTAAACACCCCATTAAAAGTGGTGCCACTCCTCCCTCTCCCGCATTTTACAAAGTTGATGTCCTTTAAATGGAAGTTGTTCAGTAAACGTGTGCATGTCACCAGTGCTTCAGATGCTGGGCTTGACAAAGCTAAAGTGTCGTAGAACTGGAGGACTTGGCAGGGAGGCAGAGGGTCATCTAGTCCAACCCCCTGCGATGCAGGAAGCACAGCTAAAGAATCCCCGACATCTTCCTCACAAGGGAGCTATTGGGATGAGAATTCAAGTTTTGGGATAAAAAACTGAATAGATTTTAGGGACAAATGACAACCCAGAAGATTTTGGTTAGCCACCTTCAAACAACATGCACAAGGTGAAGTAAGATGTTTTTGTTATGGTTGGGGGTATTAGCATTGAAATATATATATTTCAGGGGCTCTTGAGTGTGTTTAGCTCCTTTAAAAAAAACATAGGCCAAAAGATCTAGTTTATTAACCCATGTTTAGAAAGCTTTGTTTCTGTCCTTTACTACCACGTTTTCCAAATTCCACCCTGAATAATGCATTTGTTCATTTAGTACAGGGTTTCCCAAACATGGATCACCAGTTATTTTTGATCTACAATTATCATCATTCCCGACCACTGATTCTGCTAGCTAGGGATAATAGGAGTTGTAGTCCCAGAGCAACTGGAGACCCAAGTTTGGGAAAGACTTCCCACCCCCCACCACCCCCATTATTCCTTAGGGCAGGCATGTCCAACTAGTCAATTATGGGGCATCCCTGGTTGATCACGTGTTCCTGATTGATTGCCCAAAAAGAAAAAATAGCTCAACAACTTTGGTTAATCCAATGGGTAGATCACTGCCAGTTTTTTAATAGTTGGAGTACATCACAGTCTCTTGGGAGTTGGACTTGCCTACCCTAGGGAATGCAGAAAAATGGGTTCCTGTCCCAGTCCTAGGAAGGTGGTAAAGGAAACCATGTCTGTCTTTCTACCCAGCATGAAGGAAATCTCTGTGGAGAGTGACAGATCTTGACTCTTCCTCCATTAAACAGGCAGGTTCCACACGTTCTCTCAGCAAATTATATTCTCAGCAGCCACTCCTCCAAGGTTTCAGATGCATGTAGTGATCTGAAGGAGAACCTCAAGTCTTACCATCACTGGCCGCAATCTTCTGCGTTCTCAGGAAGCTTCAGAGGCACAGGCCCAATCTTGTTTTCCTGTAATTATGATAATCATTTACCATGCCTTCAAGAAATTGGTTTTAGGCTGAAGTCTTGACTCTCCTCTTTGAAGATGAGTGTGATTAGGATTTATATATATATATATAAAACCTGAGTAAATTCATTACAAAAGAAAACAATTTCTCACTGTAATGAACATGGAGTGCAGTTCCTAAATTGAGTAGTGGTAGACCAGTTACTTAGACACCACCTCTATTGAGGGACCATCTGCAGGAAAAATGAAGTTTGTACTGTTATTCTTGTTGCATCAATTAGGGTTAGAGTAGCAACTTACTCAATGGACAACAGTATTCCTTAATGTCAGGACAATTTAGGCTTTAGACTTATGATGACACTGTTGAAAACATGTTTCTTGCCATTGTCTTCAAAGTATACTCCAGCTTCCTTAAATAGGGATGTGGATTCTGTGAGCTTCCAAGTGATGTTGGACTAAAACTCCCACTCGCCATTCTCCCTGGGGCTGATGGGAGTTGGAGTCCAACATCTGGAAGACTAAAGGTCCCTCGTCACTCAATTAGGAAACGCACCAAGAAGCCTGACAATCAACATTATCTTTTAAGATAGTGTTAGCACCCCAAGGAGAGCATAATGATCTAAATACAGTGGTAACTCGCAAGACAAATGCCTCGCAAGACAAAAAACTCGCGAGACGAAAGCGTTTTTTGTTTTTTGAGCTGCTTCGCAAGAAGATTTTCCCTATGGGCTTGCTTCGCAAGACGGAAACGTCTTGCAAGTTTGTTTCCTTTTTCTTAACACCGTTAATACAGTTGCGACTTGACTTCGAGGAGCAACACATAGAACGCCGTGTGATAGCCTTTTTTGAGGTTTTTAAAGCTTTTTGAGGTTTTTGAAGCTTTCCCAAAACTTTCCCGACACCGTGCTTCGCAAGATGAAAAAAATCGCAAGACGACAAAACTCGCGGAACGAATTAATTTCGTCTTGCGAGGCACCACTGTATTTTACAAAATGTGTAGACGTGTTCTCAGGTTGTTCCTCAATGGGATCCAAACTACTATTTCTAGATTCCTGAATTTTCAATATGGAATGTGTAGTTAGCTTCCTTGTCTATGGAGCAGCAGAGAAGTCTTTATTTCAGATCAATTATGATATAAGTAACCTCTGCAAAAATTTATAATAATTATAAATTTATATAAGTTTACAATGTATATAAATTTATAATTTTTATAAAACAGCTGCAGTACAATTGTATGATCAATAGCTTTACACATACAGCTGAAGGACAACAGTTGTCTTAACAAGGAAGGAAGTATATTCTTAAGGGTAAAATTTACAAAGTTTACTTTTAGACCCAATTTAAAGTGTGGAGAGCACCCACTTTTCATTATTATGTTGAAATGTTTTCACGACCTATAAAAGTGCGTCCAAATCAAAGGGTTTGGGCAATGAGGGAAATCAACAGTGAAAGCACCAAGTTGAACTGAAAAACCATGTAGCAGCAGAGCTGAACAGACTGTGCCCCTAAACCACCGCGATCCTAAGCCTCGTCCTCCTCGCCTTCCTCTTCAAACTCTCCTTGCTCATCCACTGTGGCGTCTTGATATTGCTGGTATTCGGAGACCAGGTCGTTCATGTTGCTCTCGGCCTCCGTGAACTCCATCTCATCCATGCCCTCTCCGGTGTACCAGTGCAGGAAGGCCTTTCGGCGGAACATGGCCGTGAACTGCTCAGAGATCCTCTTGAACAGCTCCTGGATGGCCGTGCTGTTGCCAATGAAGGTGGCGGACATCTTGAGGCCTCGCGGAGGGATGTCGCACACGGCCGTCTTCACGTTGTTGGGGATCCACTCGACGAAGTAGCTGCTGTTCTTGTTCTGGACGTTGAGCATCTGCTCGTCCACCTCCTTCATGGACATTCTGCCTCGGAAAATGGCCGCCACCGTCAGGTAGCGCCCGTGGCGCGGGTCACAGGCCGCCATCATGTTCTTGGAATCAAACAATTGCTGGGTGAGCTCTGGCACCGACACGGCCCGGTACTGCTGGCTTCCGCGGCTCGTGAGGGGAGCAAAGCCGGGCATGAAGAAGTGCAGGCGAGGGAAGGGCACCATGTTGACTGCCAGCTTGCGGAGGTCAGCATTCAGTTGGCCAGGGAACCGCAGGCAGGTGGTGACGCCGCTCATGGTGGCCGACACCAAGTGGTTGAGGTCCCCGTACGTCGGAGTCGTGAGTTTGAGTGTGCGGAAGCAGATATCGTACAAGGCCTCATTGTCAATACAGAAGGTTTCATCCGTGTTCTCCACCAGCTGGTGGACGGACAGCGTGGCATTGTAGGGCTCCACCACTGTGTCTGACACCTTAGGGGAAGGCATCACGCTGAACGTGTTCATGATCCTGTCAGGATACTCCTCCCGAATCTTGCTGATAAGGAGTGTCCCCAGTCCGGAGCCTGTGCCACCACCCAGGGAATGGGTCAACTGAAAGCCCTGCAAGCAGTCACAGTTCTCCGACTCCTTCCTTACCACATCCAGCACAGAGTCCACCAACTCAGCTCCCTCTGTGTAGTGGCCCTTGGCCCAGTTATTCCCGGCACCACTCTGGCCTAGAGGAAGAAGCAGAAAGACAACGATACAGAAACAAATTGGCAACTATTGATTTCTATCTGCTGATGGCATCATGCTCTGGTCCAAATGTTCCTTTTATAAGCAGCGTCCAGACCCAGACTACAAAACCGGTTTACTTTCCTCTAGTTCTCAAATACAGTGGTACCTCAGAACGCGAACGGGATCCATTCCGGAGCCCCGTTTGCATCCTGAAGCAAATGTAACAAGCGATGGGTCTGCAGGTCGCGTTTTGCCGCTTCTGCGAATGCGCGTGACGTCATTTTGAGCGTCTGTGCATGCACGAGTGGTGAAACCCGGAAGTAACACGCGCCGTTACTTCTGGGTTGCCGCGGAGCACAACTCGAACGCGCTCAACCCGAAGCACATTCAAACCGAGGTATGACTGTATAGTGTTTAAAGACCCAGCTCTGAAAAAGTACATTGGATCAAATATTATGTACCTTTGGCTTTTGTAACTTTGGCAATTTGAGGGAAGGAGATGATGAAACTGGCTCAGAGGAAGGAGAGATCATTGTACCACATCACCTATTGCGTATACCTGGAGATTTGCCACCTGGCATAACTAGCCTTGCCCTTGTTTCAGTACATGATCAAATGTTACAGGGAGTGTACAGGATTAGTCAAACATTCCTAATAGTTGAATTCAAGTGTCTCCCAGGACAGGCAGAAGTCAGCTGTTTTGCATAGGAATGATATTCGCAGAACATTTGGAATGAATAGGTATGAGCAATCCAGCAGCTGCTTCAAGATACATTGAGCACCTGTCAAGAACAGAGACTAGAGTCACTGAAAGAATATTACATACCAAAGACGAAATTGTCAGGCCGAAAGATCTGGCCGAATGGTCCAGAGCGGACAGAATCCATTGTGCCAGGCTCCAAGTCCACAAGGATGGCACGGGGGACATACTTGTTGCCTGCAGGGAGAACAAAAGATTTATGAATGCAGTGACCTCGTTCAATTATCGGCAGTCTACTGGGCTCCTGGCAACCCTCAGCGTTGCTCAGAAAAGAATTTTATCTCTCAACTCGAGGTGCTGCTTCTGCGCATGCCCGCGTGGCGAAACCCGGAAAAAATACTTAATGTTGTGCTGGGAGCCACCCAGAGTGGCTGGGGAAATACAGTCAGATGGGTGGGGTATAATAAATTATTGTTATTATTATCACCTGTCATCTGGTGATTGGCAGGTGGTACGTCCTGCTAACCTGTCAAGGTTGGCCTGTGTGTGTGTGTGTGTGTGCGCATAGAGACCACAGCAACCAGAGTCAGTTCCCCACCTGTACTTCATAGGTACCCATGGAAGGTTATTCATGGAAGGTACCCATGGAAGGTTACAAGGTTATTCATTTTCAGTTACAGAAATCATAAATAACCTTCAACATCCAGAAGCAACAATGTCAATGTCGTCCCCACCCCTGCAAAAAACCTGTTTTCATTAATTTAATACCTTTTCTGCCCCCTCCCCAGACAGAGGAAGAGAAATTTTAAATCCTTTAATACAGCCCCAGTTTACCGGCCAGGTGTGCATTTTTCTTCTTCTTCCCAAGTCTGTATTTTTAGTTTGAAAACACACAATTAGGGAGCTTATGGCAGGCTGCATCTTAGAACAAATAAATTCTTCCCATTCCCCTCACACAGAAGGAAATTCTTCTAAGGTGGGGCTGGACACCAAAAATAGGAAGAGCATCTGTTTATAAAAATAAAAAATTATAATTATAATTATACCGTATTTTTTGCACCATAACACTCACTTTTTTCCTCCTAGAAAGTAAGGGAAAATGTCTGTGCGTGTTATGGAGTGAATGCCTACGGATGGCGGGGGGATCTGCTGCAGTCGTGAGCAGAGGATCCATGGTTCCCCTTCCTTCCCTCCTCCGTAGCTCGCTTTGAAACAGCAAAGCGGGAGAAGAGCCGCTGAGTGGGGAGGAGAGAGGGACAGAGAGCCTGCTTGCTTTAAAGGAGCAAAGCGGGAGAGGAGAGGAGAGGAGCCGCTTACACGAGTGTAAGCGGCTCCTGTCCGGTTGGCTCCTTTAAAGCAAGCAGGCTCTCTGTCCCTCTCTCCTCCCCACTCAGCTCGCTACATAGCAGCAAAGTTTTTCAGCGAGCCGGGAGGAGGGAGCTGTATTTTTCAGCGAGCCGGGGAGGAGGGAGAGAAGCAGAGCCTGCTTTCTTTAAAGGAACAAAGCAGGAGAGGAGAGGAGCCTTCTTCTCTTATACCCCTCTTCTGCATTATTAACAGCATCTTTCTCCACCCAACCCACGCGTTCCTTGTCCCTTAAGTGCTTTTCCTTCCCTCCCCACTTAAAATGTGGTTACAAAGCACGGATCCACATGGATCCTCAGGATTTTTGCACTGGGTCGCCCCAAATTCACCATCAGATCACATAGCATGTCCATGGCTATAGCTTGCACCAAAAAAATCATGCAACCACTGTTGTCTGGGGCCGCAGTGGTGCAAAAACGTGGTTACAAAGCATGGATCCACATAGATCCTCAGGATTTTTGCATTGGGCTACCCCAAACTCACCGTCAGATCACATGTCTGCGGCCACAGCATGAACCACAAAAATCATACATCCAGTGTTTAATTTAGAATATTTTTTTTCTTGTTTTCCTCCTCTAAAAACTGTGTGCGTGTTATGGTCTGGTGCGTGTTATAGAGTGAAAAATACGGTATATTTTTGGAAGCCGCCCAGAGTGGCTGGGGAAGCCCAGCCAGATGGGCAGGGTATAAATAATAAATTATTATTAATTATTAATTATTATTATAATAATAATAATAAAAAGGCTCTTTGCAAGAACTGTGTATTTATCTGCAGATTTAATTAGTTGGAAGCCATGCAATCTATCAATCAAGATTTCTGTAAATGGGCAAGAGACTCATTTCCGGAGGCAGCTAGAAGCACTTCCTTAAAAAGACAAGCACTCCATTTTTACCGGCAGCTTCATTGTAGTAGACGTTGATCCTCTCAAGCTGCAGGTCGCTGTCTCCATGGTAGCTGCCTGTCGGGTCAATGCCGTGCTCGTCGCTGATGACCTCCCAGAACTGAAATGGGAATTGTGGACAGTGATTTAGCAAGTGCGACGAGGAAGCATGACTAAAAACGTGCAGCTGCCGCGGCCACACCTTAGCCACCATACTGCAAGCACATGATCCTCTGCGCCATGACGAGACAGATTCCCTTCACACAAAGCAATGCCAACAGGGCATAGGAAGGCAGGATGTTAAATTTCACGAATGGACATACTGTTGGGGGAAGAGGGGAGGGACTTGTTTAACAAAGAAAGAAGCCAATTGGCTTCCGGCTTTGCACCATTACGCGCACACCCAACCAGCTTGAACGCTGCTCCAAATACAGGCTGCATCCTCTGCAGAGGGGCGAGGCAACCTAAAAGCCTGCCGTTATAACTGGATTACTGCTAGTTCTAACACTGTGCGAGACGGATCTGGCCCCGACCGAAAGCGAAGGCCTTTATTGTTTCCCGCAAGATCTGCCCTATGAAGCGGCAGGGAGCGGCAGGCAAAGATGGTCGTCGCATCCGAGGCTTGCTAAAGAGGCGGCGCATCGTAGACGCACAGCTGCCAACTTTTCCCTTTTCTTGCGAGGAATCCTACTCGGAATAAGCGAATTTCCCTTTAAAAAAGGGGGAAGGTTGACAGCTATGCGTAGAAATAACCCCGGGGAGATTTTTCCTAGTGCTCTGCCCCCCCCCCAATCCTTCAGCTTAATTCTTAGGTGGCGATTAATGCCTTTCATCGGAGACGCAAGAAAAGGAAACGACACGGCTGGTCCCCACAATAGATCCCCCCCACCAGATTCCCTCGTCCCCGCTTTCCCATGATACCTTGGCTCCAATCTGATTCCCGCACTGGCCGGCTTGCATGTGCACGATCTCCCGCATGGCTGCGACTTCGTTTCAGGCGATCACCCGCTTGCTACCTTCCGGAAAGAGAAAACTGCGACTTGCTGTCTCGACAACAGCAGCAGCAGGAAACAAGGGCGCGCCTCCCTCCTCCCCCGAGGCCTCTTTTATAGCGGGAGCGCGTGGCTCCGCCCCTTCCCTTCCCGGCCCCTCCTCGTCTCTCGCTCGAGGGGCGGAGAGGAGAAAGTTCACTCCTCCGCTGCTCGCGCCCGAGGGAGGGCGGGGCGAGGCGGCGGCCTGGATTTGACCGGCCCCGTCCCGCGCGCGGAAGCAGGTGCTTTCCTAGGGGCGACCCTAATATTGCAAAGCGGGTCCTCGCTGTGCCGGCTTTTGGTCTTTTCAGCGGGGTTTTATTTTTGCACCTGCCTGCAGCAGACACCATTTTGATGCGCTCTAAGGTTTTCTTTTCCCCCGATCCAAAAGCAGATAGACTGTTGTGGGCCCGGGAGCTCAGGCTAAGGGCTGCGTTTTTCTGCTGTGGTCAGAAATCTCCGATTATCCCCTTCCCTACCCAGCCTTTTCACATCATGTTGTTGTTGTGTAGTCGTGTCCGACAGCAGACTGTGCTGGCCCCTGGAGCAGGAGAAGCAGCTGTTTTCCCGATAACTTGAGGGGCATTTGGCTGACAAGTGCAGGGCACACAGTCTGCAAGTCCCTTTATAAGCGATTTTTTTGATATCCCAGAATTTCCTCCTATCTGTGAGGAGGAAGGGGGGGGGGTAACCTTGACCGGGTAGTTTGAGACTTAACCTGCCTACCTTTCAATGCAGTTGTGGAAGCAACGACATAATCAGGCTCCCATAGCCTTCCTCTTCTGTGTCAAGACTTCCATCCAAGAAACTTTCATTAGGATTGCAGCCCCTTTTTTTTTGTTTATGAAATATACCTTGGGTCACGTAGTGATTGCATGCTTTTTATGGCAGCTGGTAAAACAGTGAGTGAGTTCCCTCCCCACAACCTCTGGGTTTATATACAGTATTTACACAATGGGTCCCATCTGATTGGCTGATTATGCTTCCCTCCTGGAGCCTGATTGGGCTGCTCCTGCAGGCCAATCACATTGTTGCATTCTGCCTATTGTTCTAGGATCCAAGCTTAGTACATAACACCCCTCCCCTCTAAGTTTCCATCATGCGCAGGTGGTTAGCATTCGTAGTCGTAGAGGTATGCCAGTCACCTACATATGCGCTGTGGTCTGGGATGTCCCTCGGTATAGGTTTCTGGTTCTGACTCTTGTTCTGGGGCTGGCTGCTGCAATGGGGCTCTTTGCTCGGGTTCCATCGGTCCACACAGTCGTGGTTCTGGTTCCTGTGGGCGCTCGGCCTCAGGGGTCACCTCTGGGCCAACTAGCTCTGCCTCCCTTGCCTGCTCCTCCAGCTCTACAGGCCTCCCCTCCCAGCTGTCCCCTTGGGATTCCTCAGGCCAGCCCTCTTCCCAGTCCCGCGCCCCCCCCCCCGGATCATCGCCATAGCAGTGGAGGTGCCAGATTTGCCCCCCCCCCTCTGTTAGCACCTCATACAACACGGGGCTGGTCGCTCTGGTGACCGTGGCGGGTACCCATGCTGTGCCCGCCCCGAAGTACACTATGTGCCGGGACCAGAAGGTCCAGGGGTCCCTACTTTTCCCCACTGCTGCCTCATCCTGAGCCCTGTTGGTGTGAAGGCGGTCCAGTCTTCTTGTGAGGTGCTGGCCCATGAATAGTTCCACTGGGCTTTGGCCAGTCGTTGTGCTGGGGGTGCTGGGCTGGGCTAGGAGAATGCGGCTAGGCAGTGCTCCCAGTCCCCTTGCATTATGCGGCGGAGGGCATCCTTGGTGGTCTGTACCATGCGCTCTACTTGACCGTTGGTGGTGGTGTGGAACGGCGCCGATCATGTGTGGTGGATGGCGTTTAGTGCTGTGAAGGTCTGGAACTCCTCTGACGTGAACGCTGTTCTGTTACCCGAGACGAGGGTGTTGGGGTCATGAACAGCCTACGTAGTACTTGGATGGCCACGGCCATAGGAGTGGATGGTACCAGGGCAACCTCCAGCCATTTGGAGTACGAGTCCACCACTACGAAGAATGTCCTTCCCTGGAAGAGGCCTGCAAAGTCCACATGCAGGCGGGACCACACTGCTTGGGCGGACTCCCAGGGTTGGACGGGGGCCCTCGGGGGATCTGGGCGGGACTCCTGGCAGGTCTGGCAGTATTTAACCCAGGCCTCTATCTCCCCATCAATCCCCAGCCACCACACACAACTCCTTGCAAGGGCCTTCATTCTCACTACCCCTGAGTGTGTTTCATGTAGGGCTGTGAGGACCTTTTGGCTGGGGAACGACCATCCTGCTTCCCCATAACATGCACCCCTTGTGGGCCGACAGTTCGTGTTTGCAGGTTGTTTAGCCTGCGAATTCCAGCCCAGGGTTGTTACTGGACCATCCCCGCCACACCCAGTTCAAGAACCGGGAGATGACCCTATCCTTCGAGGAGTGGCATGCTACTTCCGGCGGCTGAATGGGGCTGTTGGGAAGCTGTTCCAGGCTCATGACCTCTTGTGCGGGTGCTGGCTGGGGCCGGTCTCTGGTAGTGGCAGCCTGCTGAGGGTGTTTGCATGGCCCATCGCCTTAACAGACCAGTGGATCAGTGTACACTGGTAGCAGGCAAGGAAAATCGACCACCTGAGGACATGAAGTGACAGTACTTGAGGGTCTGCTTCTCAAGGGCAAACATGCTGAGCACTGGGTTGTGGTTGGTCGCCACAGTGAAGGGGCACCCGTACAAGAAATTGTGAAATTACTCCCTTCACGATTCCCAGACCCTCTTTATCTATTTGCGAGTAGTTCCTCTTGGCTGCGGAGAGGGTCTGGGAAAAGTAGGCAACCGGCACCTCTCTCCCATCCAGAAGTTGGTGGCCCAGGATGGTGCCGATGCCGTAGGGCGAGGCATCACATACCAGCACCACCGGGCAGCCTCTTGTCAAGGTGCACCAGGACTGAGTTTGAGACGAGCAGCTTCCTAGCGCTGCCCCCACACCCATGGGGCCTGTTTGTCTAACAGTCTGTGTAGGGGCTCCACTACCGCCCCCTTTTGAGGTAATAATGCATGGTAGAGGTTCAATAGTCCCAAGAAGGCCTGGATTTCGGCCTTACACTTAGGTGCCAGGGTGTCGCAAATAGCCTGCACCTTGTCCCCGGTTGGGTGGACTCCGTCTGCATCCACCATAAACCCCAGAAAGTCTACCTGTTGCACTCCTAGCAGACATTTTTCCCGCTTCACCTCGAGGCCAGACATCTGGAAACGGTGCAAGATGGTGCGGAGTCGGTCCCCAAACTCCCCTGGTGTGGCCCCAGCGATCAACACATCATCGAAGAAGGAGGTGACGCCAGGAATTCCTTTGAGGAGAGAGTCCATGAGATTTCGGAATATGCATGGTGCCACGCTGATGCCAAATTGCAGCCACTTGACACGGAATGCGCCCCTGTGCGTGACACTAAGTCTGTGCCTCAGCAGTGGCCTCGTCCACTGGTAACTGCTGGTAGGCCTTGGCCAAGTCCAGCATGCCAAAAATCTTCGACCCTACCAGGGTGGCGAGGACATGGCTGATTTGTAGAGAAAAGGAGTCTGAGCTAGGCCTTCTGGCTTCCATCCTCTGTAAGGATGAGCCATGTGCTGACTAAGAGCCAGAAGAGGAGTCCAAAAGGAGAAAATGGAAAAAGAGGGGAAGATGGCCTTGTGGCTAGCCCTTTTTGTAGGGTCTGCTAGGGTCACACCCATCTACCTGGTCACACACAGGGGGAGGAGGCTCTAGAGCAGGTATGACAGGAAGTCCTCCCTGTCTGGAGCAACATTCTCCTGTGTGTCCACTCTAGGCAACAGGAAATGTTGTAGTTGACGGCTTCAGTGATGATACATCCCACAAAAGACACCAGTCTCTGCTGTGCCTCATTTCCAGTAGGAAATCTGGACCCTGGGTAAGCATCTGAAACCCCTGGACTCTCACACCTCTTGGAGATTGGGGTGATGGGCAACAGTACTTAGCTGCATATCTTCTTCTTGGCTGTTTAGATACTGTCAGCCAACATGCCTAGTTTAAGAGCTCAAAGAGGCATATTTAAAAGGTTGTGCATATAAGTCATATCACATATTCTATTCTAACCATCTGAATTGCCGCCTTTAAATATTACCTCAGCATGATTTTTACTGTTGAATTTACCTTAATCCTGCTAGCGTTTTCACTTGTTTACAATTATTTCCCCATAATTCTCCTATTCAGCAGAATAGGTTAGACCAAATGATTCTGCATACTCCCATCATCTTGAACTGCCATTCTTCCTTCTTCGGATCTTCTTCCACCCTCCATTTTATCCCATCTGCTTTCTAATTTCCTGCATTTTCAAACTTAAATGACAAAAAATGCAAACATACCTCTGTGTTTATTTTAAGGCCATGGAGTCCTGTTGAACAACAAACTATTTTAGTGCTTAGAGAGAGCTCTCTTTAATGAGCTGTTCAATTTTAATGATTTGTTACTTTTTGTTTGCTGAAATTGCCAGATGATGAAAGGTTCCTTTGAGGGATCACCCAGAAGTCCCTTCTGCCCCAGAGACCGTACCTTGGAAGCCAGCTTATATTTTTGCAGCTCTCCTTGTTGTGTGCAACTTTATTCGCTCTGTGTACCAAGGGACAAGCACCTCATTGCCTCTACCAAGGAAAGGCTACACACACCATCTTTCTTTGAAGACACCCGCACTTAATGTATGAACATCAGGGATGCATGCAGAGATGTGGCTCTGCAGCTCCATTCCACATTTGGTGCCTAATTGCACAATGCATGCAAGGTTAATGTTCCGGAGATCCATGGGCATCCATGCGGCGGCAAGGGCATCTTCCTCCACCAAAATCATAACCCCCAGTTCACCAGCCTTGGTTGAGAAAAAGAGCAGGTTTTTAGCATGCTTTGTGAGAAACTAACTTGTTTCCACCTTTCGGTGTTTTAAGTCAATGAATGAAATCAGACCAATGACTAACGCTTAGGAAAGATGATCCAGCCAATTAGACAAGGCCAGAGTGAAACACCTATTACCATATCTACAGCTTTGGTTTGCTATTACCGGTAATCCTTTGCTGCAGGTGTGTTTTGGGAGGAGAAGTTACCCCTGCTGACCCATAGAAAACAGTGCAGGTATACAGGATTTTAGTGCAGCTGTGCTTGGGGAGCAGTGAGTCAACTCAAAAAACAAAATGCAGCAGCAAAGACGGGAATGTACTATATTTCTAAGCCTGGTCTTTGGGCTTGTTTTTTTACTCTGTCAACATTTTTGAATATTATTCTGTTTACACCAAAGCAGACCAAGTCTGTTTCTATTATGTCAATATTTCCAAAGTCAGGAAAGTGGCTGGAAGTGTGTGGGTTATATTCATCCTGCAAAGCATCCCTGTTTTGTTCTACTCATGTTGCCGAAACAAGTAGGTTGCATATGACAGCCCTGATGTGTAGTCTAATGTTTTTAACCTAGTGTTTGGTGGCGGCGGGGGGAATGGGGCATTTGTTTGGGAAAGGCAGCATGCAGGCTATAAAGCCTTAAAGGGCTCAGGACCGCAATACCTTAAGGACCACCTCTTTCCTTATGAACCTACCTGGACCCTGAGATCATCTTCTGATGTCTGCCCCATCCTCAAGAGGTCTGGAGGGTGGCAACAGGAGAACAGGGCCTTCTCTGCAGTGGCTCCATCTGTGGAATGCTCTCCCCAAGGAAGTTCACCTGGCGCCTTCATTATACACCTTTAGGCACCAGCCAAAACATTCCTTTTTAACCAGGCCTTTGGTTGATCTGATTGACATCCTATGCCCTTTTAAAATGTGTGGGTTTTTTTGTGGCGGAGAGCTACTGGTTTGTTGTTGTTGTTTTATTATGCATTTTGTGGTTCTATATCTTGATTTTATTCTGTGAACCGCCCTGAGACCCACAGATTTAGGGTGGTATATAAATACAACTAAAAATTAAAAAGTGAAGTTGTAGCAGCAGTGTAATTAATTAAGGGCTGGAGAAGGTGAAGGAAGCCAGGGAAAAAGCTGAGAGTTTCATCAGGGAGTGAAAAGACATTTGGATCTCGGATCCACCAGCAGATGGGCAGCAGGTCTATCCATCGAGAACCAGCAGATGGGTAGATGTGAAGTGCATGTTTCTCAGATGCCAAGTCTACCCAGGCTCCATCATTGCTCTGTCACCAGATATGCTAGACCTGTTATCTGATACTAGTAATGTTTATTTGATGTAAACTCACCCACAGAAAAAGGCCAGCAACTGCTCATGCACCCAGATACAAAATGCGGTGAGATGATTTCTCACAAGGATGCAGAAGGGCATTAGCAGCTTGTATAACAAAAATATGCACCCTTAAGCCCATTGAATTAAATGTCTCTAAGTATCACTTAATTCTTAAGAATGGAGTACACAATCAGGGGAAACGTGTCATAGGGGTTTTTGTTTTGTTTTGTTACTACTTATGTATTTTATATTTAGCTCCAGCCCTCCTGATGGTTGAAAGAGGGCAAAATGTTAAATTCAAAATGTTTTCCCAGGGACAATGAAATGTGGTACTTCAAAGGAAAAGATAAGGAGCTGAGGAGATGGTGCTGTGGTTCTTGGCTGTGTATCACCCAGAACATGGGTAGGCAAATTAAGGCCCAGGGGCTGGATCTGGCCCAATCACCTTCTAAATCCGGTCCATGGACAGTCCGGGAATCAGCCTGTTTTTACATGAGTAGAATGTGTGCTTTTATTTAAAATGCATCTCTGGGTTATTTGTGACGCATAGGGATTCGTTCATTTTTTTCCCTTCAAAATATAGTCTACCCCCCCGAACAAGTTCTGAGGGACAGTGGGCCAGCCCATTGCTGAAAAAGTTTGCTGACCCCTAACCCAGAGTGATCCCTTGTAGGCTGTTGAGAGGATCAGCATGAACACTGGTACACTCAGTTCTGTGGATTGCAGGTGTAAGGTCTGTTGATCATAGGATGCCACACGTGCTGCTTAAACACGGGTGGTGCTGTGGTCTGAGCCACTGAGCCTCTTGGGCTTGCTGATCAGAAGGTCAGCGGTTCGTATCCCAAGACGGGGTGAGCTCCTGTTGCTCTGCCCCAGCTCCTGCCAGCCTAGCAGTCCGAAAGCATGCCAGTGCAAGTAGATAAATAGGTACTGCTGTGGCAGGAAGGTAAATGGCATTTCTGTGCACTCTGACTTCCATCACGGTGTCCCGTTGCACCAGAAGCAGTTCATGCTGGCCACATGGCCAGGAAAGCTGCCTGAAAGCGAGATGAGCTCCACAACCCCATAGTCACCTTTGACCTGACTTAACTGTCCAGGGGTCCTTAACCTTTACCTTTTACCTGCCACACATGCTATCGCTTTAGATTGGAAACGCTTAAGGGAATTGGGGCAAGGGGAACCTAACTCCTCTACTGACGCTCCAGATTAAAACACCCCATTAAAAGTGGTGCCACTCCTCTCTCTCCTGCCCTGCATTGATGTCCTTTAAAAGGAAGATGTTCAGTAACCGTGTGCATGTCACCAGTGCTTCAGATGCTGAGCTTGACAAAGCTAAAGAGCCGTAGAACTGGAGGACTTGGAAGGGAGGCAAAGGGATGATACTTTTCCAGTGCCAAATGTTAATTGGAAGAGTATGTAGCATTCTGATAATCGGTCCACTTCATTCACATTTTATTTACTTGCATGACGGCTGCAACGACGGCTTCTGTCGCAGAAGTAGCATAATAATTTCCCACTGTTCCCTGACTTGGCTTCATTTCTGCTCTGCAGTTTTACAACACAATAAAAGAATCCAGACAACAGCGTGAAACACAAATGCCTTTTATGTTTGTATCAGACATTTAGACAGAAGACTTTTTCATAACTCTTTTGCAACTACTGTTACACAACGAGTAAATCTGCTGACAAAGCCAGCAGAGAAAGCACCAAGTTGAACTGAAAAAGCATGCATCAGCAGAGCTGAACAGACTGTGCCCCAAAACACTTGCCCCATTGCACTAAACTTGCCCCACTGCACTAAACCAGCGCCATCCTAAGCCTCGTCCTCCTCGCCTTCCTCTTCAAACTCTCCTTGCTCATCCGCTGTGGCGTCTTGATATTGCTGGTATTCAGAGACCAGGTCATTCATGTTGCTCTCGGCCTCCGTGAACTCCATCTCATCCATGCCCTCTCCGGTGTACCAGTGCAGGAAGGCCTTTCGGCGGAACATGGCCGTGAACTGCTCAGAGATCCTCTTGAACAGCTCCTGGATGGCCGTGCTGTTGCCAATGAAGGTGGCGGACATCTTGAGGCCTCGCGGAGGGATGTCGCACACGGCCGTCTTCACGTTGTTGGGGATCCACTCGACGAAGTAGCTGCTATTCTTGTTCTGGACGTTGAGCATCTGCTCGTCCACTTCCTTCATGGACATTCTGCCCCGGAAAATGGCCGCCACAGTCAGGTAGCGCCCGTGGCGTGGGTCGCAGGCCGCCATCATGTTCTTGGAATCGAACATCTGCTGGGTGAGCTCTGGCACCGTCAGGGCCCGGTACTGCTGGCTTCCGCGGCTCGTGAGGGGAGCAAAACCCGGCATGAAGAAGTGCAGGCGAGGGAAGGGCACCATGTTGACCGCCAGCTTGCGGAGGTCAGCATTGAGTTGGCCAGGGAACCGCAGGCAGGTGGTGACACCACTCATAGTGGCCGACACTAAGTGGTTGAGGTCCCCGTATGTCGGAGTCGTGAGTTTGAGTGTGCGGAAGCAGATATCGTACAAGGCCTCATTGTCAATACAGTAGGTTTCATCCGTGTTCTCCACCAGCTGGTGGACGGACAGCGTGGCATTGTAGGGCTCCACCACTGTGTCCGACACCTTAGGGGACGGCATCACACTGAATGTGTTCATGATCCGGTCGGGATACTCCTCCCGGATCTTGCTGATGAGGAGCGTCCCCATCCCAGAGCCTGTGCCACCGCCCAGGGAATGGGTCAACTGGAAGCCCTGCAAGCAGTCGCAGCTCTCTGACTCCTTCCTTACCACATCCAGCACCGAGTCCACCAGCTCCGCTCCCTCCGTGTAGTGGCCCTTGGCCCAGTTATTCCCAGCACCACTCTGGCCTAGAGGAGGAAGCAGAAAGGTGATGAACGAGCAGAAGCTACAGCTGCCAACACTTTCAATGCATAAAGGGTAGAACTGTTAAAGCAAACCAGCTGGAGCCAAAATGTGCATTTCTTTTTAAATTTTGGTTATGACCTCTTCAGGGGGGCACAGTCTGTAACAGCCCTAAGAAATGGTTCTGTTGTGTTCTTGGATAGGCAATCCATCAAGTGCTAGAACACTGGTATTTCCTTCATATATCTTCTCCAAATATTTATTTGCATGCAAACGCTAAACCGCATGGCCAAGAAATGTGCATGCAACAGGGATCCATGGTCAATCTAGCATAGTGTCAGGTCTGCAGATATGGACAGGAGTTTCCAATAAGAATTAATGAGCCTCTGATAGGTTTATATCTATTTACAATAACACAAAGAGAGCGGCACTGAGCCAACTTCTCTCAGGGTATCAGTTGTTCACTCCGAATCTCCTCCCCTTTTGCAGCACGAAGGGCGCTGATTCCCTGTTTCCCTGTCCTTCTGCCCCTGTGCTTTCGTTGCTCCTTAACCCTTTCCTGCTTCCTAGTCCGAGGGGAGGGAGGAACATCCTCGCCACTCTCAAAGTAAGAGCCTTCCAAACTCTCCCTCCCTCCTGGTTGCCTAGCAACTTTACCAGGGCTGTCTATCTCTTCCTCCTCCGACTGCGAGGTTTCTTAATCTACTGTTCTCTCTGTTACTGAGAACACTGAAGGAAGGGGGGCAATTACCCCCTTCCTCCTCATTAAAGGCTGCTCTGTGACTGCCTGCCTTCCTTGTCTGAGTCAGACCAGTCTCTGGCATCTGACACTGGCCAGCCCCTGACACATGGAATCATAGAACTGTAGAGTTGGAAGGGACATCGATGATCATCTAGTCCAACTCCCTGCAATGCAGGAATCTTTCACCCTACGTGTGCCTCGAACTCACAACCCTGCAATTAAGCGTCTCATGCTCTATCGACTGAGCTATCCACGGTGTGTTCTGGTTAAGGGAGAGAAGGCTGCCCTTTCTCTTGTGGCGATATGCCCCAAATCCTGGAATATCTCATCCATTTCACCATGGGAGAGATGCAGGAATGATCCCTTGACCCATTTTTCTGCCAATACATGGGAAACAGGAAATGCATACTTGCCCATCCTACTCCTATTGTGAAAGCTCATAATGGCAGAACCCTACGCAGAGATTGATGCCTGACAACTTTAAAGAGGACCGCACATGCTGATGGGAGTGAATGCCAATTGGCTTCAAGCCAAGCTGACTGTAGCACTCAACCTTCGCTTGGTGGAGGAGAAGAGGAGGTACTGAAGGTGAACTGGAACAGATCGGTAGATTTCTAGCCAGCAAACCCTTGATCTAGGCAGAGAGAACCTGAGCTTCTGAGTTCATTTTCGCTTGGGCCACCCGTTTTAGAACAGCCATGATGAAACACTTACCAAAGACAAAGTTGTCAGGTCTAAAGATCTGCCCAAAAGGTCCAGACCTGACCGAGTCCATTGTGCCAGGCTCCAAGTCCACAAGGATGGCACGGGGCACGTACTTGTTACCTGCAGTGGTGGTGGTGGAGGGACGACAAAAGACACTCAGCGTTACAGACCTGCTGTCAGCAGATTTCGTGGGCTGGGGAGGGGAGGGGAATCCTCACAAAACCCAACACAAGGCAGCTCCTATGCTCTTGGCAACCTCATTACTATTCACCAGAGAGACACAGCAACTCTCTAAACAGATAAAAGGAGTGGGGGAGGTGCAGATTTAAAGGGAACAGCCTAATGAAACCAGGCTTGAATTTTAAGTAGGCATTAAAGCGTTGCCAAGGATTTCAATAGCTGCTTAAAGGCCCCGGCTTGCCAGGGTTTTGTCACGCTGCTCTCCCAGTGCCCGTGACATTTTTTGAAGAATCTATCAGCAGCTTTCCTCCCCGGCCTCCCTCCCTCTCTCTCTCTCTCTCTCTCTCTCACACACACACACACACCGCTCCCTCCCCAAGGTTACCAGTCGCTTCATTGTAGTAGACGTTGATCCTCTCTAGCTGCAGGTCGCTGTCTCCGTGGTAGCTGCCGGTGGGGTCAATTCCATGCTCATCGCTGATGACTTCCCAGAACTGGAATGGGAATTTTGGAGAGCTATTAGCAACTGCCTTTGAAATGCCTAGAAGGCTGAACCCCCCTCCCCCCCCAAAAAAACCACATGCCGCTTGCTGGCACGCCTTGCCAAAATCCCGTTGTCAGGGCTGCCAGATTCCCAGCTGAAAAGAGAAATGTGTAGTGGGAAATGAGGCAGATCAAGGCAAGCGCTTAACGGCTCTTGCAGCCCAGGTGGCTGCCTTGACAGCAGCTCGAAGCACAAAGAAACAGCACCACAAAGAAACAGCACCGCTGCGATACTCCACATGCAACCCACAAAGGAAGCCACAATGCACCAGGATGCCATTGACAGCTCTTTAAAATCTCCGTTTATAATTCTGAAATATGTTGCATGGTGGGCAGTGAGAAAAGGATGGCTGCAGAAAATTATTCAGTACTGCTTTCCTTAAAAATAAATAAATCACTCCTTATGTTTGTAGGTATTTTCTCTGCTCTATCTTTTGTAATTCAAAAGATTCAAAAGCCTCTGTCTTGAATGTTCTTGGCTTTGTTCAATTGTAACCGTATTTTAAAGTTGAACGATGATCTTTCGTTGTGTGCAGGAGTGGGGAGGAAAAGGTGCCACCAAGCCCATGTACACACCCACTTGCGCCCCACCTTAGCGGCGCTAGAAAGGCTATTGTCTCCTGGTGCTGTTCTCTCAAACACAAAACCAAACCAGCACCAGCCTCTCTGCCCATGATCATAACCAAAATGGCAGCAGAAAGCCACTCTTTGCTTCATATCCTTGAGAAGGTAACCTTAGAAGCTGCTAGGGAAACTCCCTTATGAAAGGACCAGTGGGCATGTGTCCCCAGATCTGTGACAATGTTTTCTGAGCAAGCAAGGTGGGGTGTGTGTGTGCTTTATGCTCACTGAAATAATTCCCTGCAATGTCGCAGAAGATCAAAGAACACTTTCCATTCACTTGAGAGCCTCGAGATACATGCTGCGTGGACCACACTATTACTGCATAGCCTGCCAAGGTGGTAGCGCCAACTCTAAATATTTTAAAAAGCGAATTCAGTATTTCTTCGTTCCCTTCCACAAAAGGGAAGAGGAAAGCCCAGCGGGGGCAACCAGATCCCCAAACAAGTCAAGCTCAAAATAATAGGCTCATATGATCTACCCAAACTGAATTCAGAGAAAGCACCTGTGACAGTCCACCTGCACAAGGGAAGCAACGTGGAGACGGAGTCCCTTTCATTGAACCTTAAAATCCCCTTTACTGCAGAATTTAGCCCAATACTGTATTAGGAGTTAGGATACCAGTGAGCCTAGAGATGACTGTAGACCCCCTCGACTTACTGAAGGCTATATTGTCTCTGTACCAGCACTGAGGGTGTGGCTGGGAATTGAGTTACCAGCTACCCTTACTTGTCAAAAATAAAACAAGCGGCTGGTGAAGCCCAGCCATATGGGCGGGGTATAAATAAAATTATTGTTGAATCACCAGATCCAGTCCCATCCCCACACAAAAAAAAACCCAACACCCCGATTTCGAACTCTGTGTGTGTGTGTGTGTGTGCGCGCGCGCGCGTGTGTGTGATTGTGATTTGGTGACATGTGCGCTGACTCAAAGCACGAAGTGCCTACAAGACGGGACGAGGAAACGCCTTTTTCTAGACCCCTTATTAGAGCGCCGGTTCCTGCTAGCAGCTCACACATCAAAGGCAACAAATGTGGCTATCAATCGCGACCAGCATTTTCTATTCTCCTCCCTCCCCTCTGCAAGGGGCGTGTAACAAAGGAAGCGGCTGCAGCGTAGGATGAACGCGCCGTCGAGGAAGCAGACCCGAGCGGGGGTCGAGGTGGTGAAGAATACATCTCTCAAAATTGTGAGACGAAGACATAAACAAGAGAGAGAGAGAGAATGTTGAGTTGCTGAATAGGCTCCTTTGATGCGCAGGAGGCCGAGGTCATTGAACCCCACCCGAGTTAGAGACGCGTGGAACGCCTGGAATTGGCGACTCCCTGCAGCGCGTGTAACAATAGAGACGCGCCCCCTGTCCTCCCCTGGTCCAGACCATACCTTCGCCCCTATCTGGTTGCCACACTGGCCGGCCTGGATGTGCACGATCTCACGCATGGCGACGGCTTGACTCCGGGCTGACCCCCCACTCGCTGGCCGCTTCTGCCTCCGGCGCGCCCACCTGCCTGACCTCGGCTCTCTTCAGCACCGGCAACAAGCAACAGGGAGCGCCTCGGCCGGGAGCTGCTTTTTATACACGGGGAGCGCCGATCCCCGCCTTTCTGCAGCCCAAGCCCCACCTACTCCCATTCACAGCTGCCTCCTCGGCTCGGGTGATGTAATGCTCCCAGTAGCTGACGGCGGATGGGGGGGGGACGCGGGGGAGACGACGGATCCGCAGAAGTCCGTCCATCCCCTCTCCCCCACCCCCGGTTGATTTTATTTTTTATTTTTTATTAGAATGCACTCAGACATTTGCTTCGAGGTTGTCTGTCATATCGTAATTGCTGACCCATCTCTCCTCTCCCTTCGCTTTCTGATATAATCTTCAGGTTACAGACTCCGCTAACCCAGAAATAGTACCTCGGGTTAAGAACTTTGCTCCAGGATGAGAACAGAAATCGTGCTCCGGCGGCACGGCAGCAGCGGGAGGCCCCATTAGCTAAAGTGGTACCTCAGGTTAAGAACAGTTTCAGGTTAAGAACAGACCTCCTGAACGAATTAAGTACGTAACCAGAGGTACCACTGTACTTGACCCGAGGTACCACTGTGTAGCGGGGGTGGGGACAGGGTGGGGCAGCCGCCACCCAAAATCAATAAAAATCCTATGCCCTTTTAAAATGTGCTTTTTGTAGGGGGGCCTATTGGGTCGTTGTTTTATTATTATTATGTATTTTTTGGGTTTATATCTTTATTTTATTATGTGAACCGCCCTGAGGGCCCCGTATAGGGCGGTATAATGAATAAACACAATTAATATTTTATTAATACAATTAATAAATACAACAACAACAACAAAATAAATAAAAATATATAGCCAACTGAAGTTCTCCCCCTCCCCAACAAGAGGCCTGCCCCCTAACAAAAATCCTAGCTACGCCCTGCCCCTCCTTGCCCCATGTATTTAAAGGCGGTTGGAAGCTTCAAGCTGAAATGGACCGGAGGAACAGAAACAGCCTCCATCCTCGTCCCTCTCCGTCTCTAGAAGGACTTTCCCCCTGAAATATACTTGGAGTCGAAACATCCCCCCGACTCTTCTTCTTGTTCTTCTTCTTGTTCTTCTTGTTAAGGATGGAGTGGAGTGGCTTTGTTCTCGACTCCCCCAGTGAGAAAAGATAACGTGATGGGGTCAGGGACAGAGGAGGAAGGGAAGAGAAAAAGAATCTGCTGCGCGCAGGGCTCCGGCATTTGCAGCATCCGGCCGCACCCTCCGGCTCTCCCCCCCCCCATCCTTTTGTTTCTTAAGAGAAGCCCCCCCCGCCCCCCGTTTGCAGCTGCCAACGCTGCAAGGTGGCAGGCAGGCAGCGCACTCGGGCGCGGCCTCTGCTGCAGTTTCTCTCGGCTGTCCTTCTCCCCACGTGCTTTCCCGAGATCGAGGCCTGGTATGCAAAGGTGCAAGGCCAGGCCACTCTCTCCCCTGCCTGGCTCCCCATTTCTGCAGGCGGAAACACGAGTCTGGGCGTGTTTATCAGCGAGCGAGCCCAGTGGGGTGGCTGCATCGCGGTGGGTGACTTGAATGAGGACGAGTCTCCCTGTTAGCAAGGTGGTTGTGGGAGGAGGAGGCAAGGACCAAGGCGCCTTTTAAGCTCTCGAGTCAGATCCACAGCTATATCTGGGTTGGCACCGGGTGTGGCTGGAAGCAGGCTAGTTCACGTGAACAAAATGAGGAGGAGCTGGTCATACAACTGAAGAAAACCCGCAAGGCCCTTTCTCATCCCAGCTACAATGCTCCAAATAATTTGGAATAAGAAGTTTTAAAAAAGCTGGTTCGGGGACCATAGCCAAATAAGCGCATTGATTCTCTTTGCTCCTTGGATCAAAAGCAAGATACAAGGCAATGCACTGTTGTTGTTGTTTAGTCGTTTAGTTGTGTCCGACTCTTCGTGACCCCGTGGACCAGAGCACGCCAGGCACTCCTGTCCGCTGTCGTCCCCTTCTCCTTGTGCCCTCCATCTTTCCCAGCATCAGGGTCTTTTCCAGGGAGTCTTCTCTTCTCATGAGGTGGCCAAAGTATTGGAGCCTCAGCTTCAGGATCTGTCCTTCCAGTGAGCACTCAGGGCTGATTTCCTTAAGAATGGATAGGTTTGATCTTCTTGCAGTCCATGGGACTCTCAAGAGTCTCCTCCAGCACCATAATTCAAAAGCATCAATTCTTCCGCGATCAGCCTTCTTTATGGTCCAGCTCTCACTTCCATACATCACTACTGGGGAAACCATAGCTTTAACTATACGGACCTTTGTTGGCAAGGTGATGTCTCTGCTTTTTAGGATGCTGTCTAGGTATCACGCATACCTTCAAAAAAAACAAAAACAAATGATGAATTTCAGCCGGATAATTCATCATTAAAGGGTGAGGCTGCTTCCAGAACAAATGCATTCAGTCACCAGTCTCAAGAAGATCTTTTGCTCCGTCTGGAGCGTTTTACATGACCTGGGTTATCTAAACGGCTCACCCAGTATTTCCCTGAGGAGCGATTCAGCTATGTAGATGCATCAATCTCGTTTGATTTGCAGTGCGATTCGTGGGTATAATTTTATTGCTGATGTTATGTTATTCACCGCCATGGTTTTTTTTATTTTAATTGATGATGATGATGATTGCAAATAAGGTCTCAGAAGGTATTGGGTTCATTTTTAAAGTCTTTTCTGAGGACGCAGCACTTCTTTCCTTCCCAGCCAATAAACACTGTTGCTAATCGGCGTCTTCTCTTTTCCCGTCTACGCCTTGCCCGGTGTTCTAGAGACAATGATGAGGTCAGATTCCCATCTTCCAGGGAAGAGAGGCTACATTTCAAGCTGGCAACAGAGCCGCTTTCGAGCAACATAATATCGGGAGGGGGTGACTCAGGGTTGCCGGCTGCCTTCTGCCAGATCGTCACTGGGAGGGGAACTCCGCCTTGTCCTCCCTCCCTCCCTCCTGCAGAGAGGATGAAACGATCCAAGCCAGGGGGTAACAGTTTGGTATTTGCTCTCTTGCATATTTTGCTGCTGTGCCTGTGGAGGAACGGAAGACAGAGGGCGTGAATTGTATCACACCATATTCCTCGCAACGCAGCCTGAGTGGTTGGTTGCAGCAGCGTTTTATCTCAAACCTGCTATTAACAGAGGCAACGCGTTTCATTCTGTTTCTGTGTGCTCAGCAGACAAGCAGACAACAACAAAAGCAAGTGGCTAAAAGAAGCAGCTTATTTTCCCCCTTTGTTTTCTAGCCAGCTAGAACTATAACTGTATCACGTTTCGATCTTGTCTGTGTGTTTACTCCGGGGGTGGGGCAGATCCACCGAATTTAATAGCGTTTATTCCCCATTCCCATAAAACTATCTACCTTACTGAACAAAGTGGGTCTTCCTTCCGAAGAAACAAGACAAGCGAAACTGCAAATACAAGATTACGTTTGGGAGTGAAGCCTCGATGAACATAAATAGAATTGACCTTCAAATAAAATTGGGTGAAATTTAATGCTCCTCGTTACTACTTAAGAAGCCAATTACCAATTCTTATCCCTTGAGTATTCACTATTTTCAATTCTTGGTTATCATTTATAAGATTTATTACCCGCCCTTCTCAAGGAAATCCCAGGGCAAGTTACAACAAATAGAAAATGCAATTTTGTAGCAGATAAAAGTCCGTATAATCTTAAAACACATAAAGGTAAAAGTAAAGGGACCCCTGACCATTAGGTCCAGTCGTGGCTGACTCTGGGGTTTCGGCGCTCATCTCGCTTTACTGGCCAAGGGAGCTGGCGTACAGCTTCTGGGTCATGTGGCCAGCATGACTAAGCCGCTTCTGGTGAACCAGAGCGGCGCATGGAAACACCGTTTACCTTCCCGCCGGAGTGGTGCCTATTTATCTACTTGCACTTTGACGTGCTTTCAAACTGCTAGGTTGGCAGGAGCAGGGACCAAGCAACGGGAGCTCACCCCGTCACAGGGATTCGAACCGCCGACACATACAAGCGTTCTAAAATGGAATAGAGCAATATATAATTAAAAAGTGTCAGATATTCTGCTAAACTACCAGGCTGGGTTTTTTTGTTTTAAAAACACCCTTATATTCCTTTTGTAAGTGACACAACTCCCAGATACAGATAGGTAGCCGTGTTGGTCTGCCATAGTCAAAACAAAAAAATTCCTTCCAGTAGCACCTTAAAGACCAACTAAGTTAGTTCTTGGTATGAGCTTTCGTGTGCATGCACACTTCTGAAGAAGTGTGCATGCACACGAAAGCTCATACCAAGAACTAACTTAGTTGGTCTTTAAGGTGCTACAACTCCCAGACTACAGGATTTCCAAAAAATTTGGAAGAAATTGAAATAAAAATAAAAGTATCAGTATTCAATTTTATTTTAGTCACAGACCAGCATAAGATTAAAAAACAACAACAAATAAACTGAACACATAAGACTTAAAACAGGTAAGGGATAAAAAAAACCCCTAGTAATTAAAAGGTGATTATATCATGCATACTTTAAAAGATAGAAACAAGGACCAAAGATTAAAAGGTTATACCCAGATGGGTGGGGTATTAATAATAATAATAGTAATAATAATAATAATAATTAGGAAGGGAGTGTGAAGGAGCACAGTTTCTCGGCCTTTTGGCTAAAATCAAGTGTAAAAATAAAAGTATTATCAAGAGACACCTCATGTTTTCCATATTTGTGAGACAAGACTTTGCTGTTTTATTTGCAAAGCAAATCTTTAGACCTGAGCATAGAATTTTGTCAACGATATTCTTTATTCCTTTTCCAAGGAACAGCGTAATCCTGCCTTGCCTTATATACTCAATACAGCACTGTCAAATATTGATTATACAGACAGCATAGGATGCTCTCTGCTGCATATGAGCCAATTTTGGTCTGTTATTGCGATACACACGTCTTCTGTTTGACATGTTTCCTCTAGATATATGAGGGAACCACAGAATAGCACTCCATGGATATTGTATTTTGCTGTGTCTGAATGTGCTGGGATTCCTGACAAACTGCCTTTCCAACACATGCACATGTAGGCAG